TCACATCAATGAGCACCCAGAGGAAAACATCTTAGTTTAAGACACATGTGCGCGCTATGCACGCAAGCTGCTTTGAGTCTTATCTCGATAATTAATCCTCACGGAGGTTCTGGCTGGGGAGATGCCGCTAATTGTCTTCTCCACCCGATGAGGCCAATTTCCTATTTTTAGATTTATTCCCCCCCCCCCCATACATACTGGTACGGTATTAGTACTATTACTAACTTTGTTCCTTCTTTTTTTTGTCTTCTTTTTTTTGAGCTTTGTCTAGTTTCCTATACTGTGCGGAATACAATGCCATACGGAACGTGTACTAGCAGTTACCGGTACTGTACATGTACACTTTAATACCCGGTATGTGTTCTTAGTAAAACATCATCATTTGTACAAACATGTTCTTGTACATGTACACAAGCAGTTGAGAAAAGAACATGAGAGACTACATGCACTGGTATGCTGTTATTTGAAACATTTTCTTGGATCTAGCGACCTGTGGAATGAAGTGGTTTCTATCGGACATGACCTGCCAGTACCATAGGTGTTACAACGCTCAATCAAAGGTCATACCAATATGCTCTTTCTAATAACAGCATACTGGTATGTTACTGAGATATTCCCAACATTTGTGCAAAGTTTGGTAACACAAGGAATCTTTTAAAATTCCATGATAAACTTTAATATCGTTACACTGTACGTACAATCTACATTCCCAAAAAGTTAACTTTTTTTTTTTTAGCTGAGCCAGCTTTATAAAACAGCACTCCTCCAAAGGCAGCAGCTAAAAACAGAAGAAAAAAGAAGAAGAAAGGAATATGAAAGGGGGGGGGGGAAAGAAATCTAAAAATAGGAAATTAGCCTCATCGGGTGGAGAAGACAAGAAGGGAAATTAGCGGCATCTCCCCAGCCAGAACCTCCGTGAGGATTAATTATCGAGACGAGACTCAAAGCACGTGCGTAGCGTGCACATGTGTCTTAAACTAAGATGTTTTCCTCTGGGTACTCATTAATGTGATCCTTGCGGTGAATGACTGATCAATTTGTTTTGCGCCAAATTAGCAGCGCCGGGAGGCGCCGGCAATATTTTAGGCTCGTTAATATCCTGTATTTTTTAGCAGATGGTTTTTTTTAGACAGTAGTTTCTTGAAATACTTTTTTGTTGTTAGGGATTCGCCTTTTTATTTTTACTCATCACCTGAGTTCAGACATGTACGTTGGTTCAAAACTTTGTTGGTTTCTTTACATAAAATCTGTAATACAAAGTAACCCTCACTCTATAGGTTTTTGGTCTACACGTATACATGTCCTTGTTCTAATCTTACATTGTAAACTTTCTTTACTGAGTGTCAACAATTTAAAAAGTAATTTTACAGGCCTTCCAAGCATTTCGTCTAAGTATTGAATTACACTGCTGGTTATTACTGGAAATTGTACCTGTGCTTACAATTAAAACTAATGTTATCCATTTTGAAAAATGAAAAACCAAGACCTAATTTTTTTTTAATGTCTCGAACGTAGACCAGCTTGCATGACATGAACCCATTCATGAAAATTCCTGAAGCTGATGGGTGTTAAAAATAACCCAGTTTTTAAACGAGTCCCGCACGCACCGAATTCCCCTTCCCAAGCCTGGGAATAAGAATCCACTGAATTCCCTTCCTCTGAAAAAACACCGGCGGTGAGAAGAGCCAGGCTAACCCGTCTCACGGACAGGCTGTTGCAATCACCGCCCTTCCTCCCTTCCCTCCGTTGTCTCGAGCCCTGCAAATTAGGGGGATAATAATAGCAATGCTTCCTGCATTAGTCGACCGAAATAGACGGCCGTTTTGAGGGTATTAATGGTTCGTCTCCACATATTCCTCCCTTCCCTACCCCCCCTATGGACCTTCACTCCGTTCTTGAGTGCATATACCAGAAAGACACCCCCCCCCCCTTTTTGGTCTCGAGCGATGCACAGCAATGCGGCTGTATCAGTGTTGACGCTTGAAGAATTTGATTCACGCTGGCGCACGTGCAGTTTTATCTGTGGTGTTGTATGCAGTTGTCTGTGTAAGATGTAGGTTTAGCGTGAGTGGACAACTAGTTTGACAGATGACAGTGTGTTTAATGAGATGCTGGCAAGTACTCTTGTAAATTTCTTCAGCTTTGTTGGGTTTTACTCCTAGTGCAGTTTTCTTTCATGTTCGGGTACATACATGTACATGTACGTCTCTCAGTTCATGCGCAGTTCTTCTGACAAATTATCCATGTCATTAGTTTTGCCATGAGTGTGTTGACCAGTGACCTAGAAATATGGGTGACTGCCCTATGGAAGTCGACCTACATGTACATGTACACGTATGATATAATCTTAGATAACAGGGTATAGATGGATATATAAGACCAGGCTAAAAATAGCCCATCCAAGGACACTAGTTTATGAGTCCACTAACAAAACAGATGAGGGTCATGTTGAAAAGTACCTGCAATAATATAAGTCCTTCAGCACATATGCATTGTACAAAAGTTACAAGAATGTTTATGGGCTCCGTGCACAAGTACCCCCTCAACGGCAAGAAAGGGAGAGTTGGGGTAGACCACTTGGAGCTAGACATTCAAATTCAATGCCGACGACACCTGACGCTCACGCAAAGACTCGCATGGTTTTGTGCACATTCAGAATGAAATAAGCGGTGCATACTTTGCGCGATACGCATGCGAACCAGTGCGCACGCACGTGATGTGTCGACTGGTCTCTCGAAAGTGGTCAAAAGCGCCCTCTCTTGTTTGCGGACGGAGTCCATGCATGTGGCACACAGTTACTTTTTGTATCGAACTGGACCCGATTTCATGAAAATGCTGAGCATAAAATACTGCAAAATTTGGTCTGTGCTTACCAACTTTGCTATTATATTAAAGGGAAAATACAACATTTGCAAACGTCAAAAAAAAAAATACCAAATCAGTTTGAAATACCTTGCTGGACTGTTAGTGAATGACAGTGTAAAGCATCCTGTAAAATCATGGCACCTGGTATACTGTCATTTTCAAGAAAAGGGTATTTTTGTATCAATTTCCAACGCTGATCGGCCGATCAGCGTTGGAAACAACTGGCTTTTTTTTCAAATACTGGCCCCAATTGACCATCGCACTTGTTTGCAATCGATTGCAAACCTATGAACGGGTACGAGCCAGCTAGACTGGTTCCCTGACCTTACAATTCCCCAATGTATGTAAACTGCTCTGTTTCTTCTTATATTGAGTCAGGGAACCAGACTACAGGAAAATGATCGTTTTTCTTGGTTTTTATAGCATTTTCGAACCCAAAACCTCATAAAAGTCAGTGTAACTATATTTGCTATATATTTCTAACCCCCCAATTCCATCCATTTCTGAAAATTACAGCAAAAGCAAATGATGTATATTCCCTTTAATAGAAGATAAGTTGACCTGCTTTCGTATATATTGGATGATGACCTACCGTTCTCGGTCCAATAAACATATAGCGCATGTTAGAGTCATTGATAAAGACGTACCCTTTTTGACAACCTTCAGTAGACATTGCTGGGAAAAACCCCCTGAGTTGTCCTGTGCTACGTTCGGTGATTTCCATTGATCTGATACATGTTTTTGTTCCACAGAATTTCATGTAGTATACATGTTGCACGATCAATCGTGTTTGTACATGTACACATGTACATGTATACGTGTATCTCCACAACTTTAAAAAACTTAACAACCGAACAAAACAGACAAAAACAAATAATACAAAAAAACAAGTGCTGCGGACAGAAATATTCATTCATATTTATAGATGGGCGGTTGTGGGCGGGGCTGTGACGTATGTGCTTTTTATCTTTTCTGTTGATAAGTTCCTTTATTGCCGATTTTTTCTTCTATTCTTGTTTAATAATAACATTCAAGTTATTCCCAGTTTTGTTGGGTTCGAAGTGGCAGATTATCTGATGCAAAGTCCCACTCGGTTGTCAACGTCAGCCTACTTCAAGCCTTAATCAAATAACTTTTTGGCTTTGTTGTTTGTTTTGGGCTGAATATATCGGTCGGGGTAACAGCGAGTGAAGGTTCACTAAGTGCTGTGGGTACATGTACCGGTTACATGTAGTTTGTTCAAAAGCAGTGACGTCAGAGCCTTCGGGCTACATGTATCGGTATTTCTAGAATTTTGAGCAGTACAATGGGGAGAATTGTTAACAAGAGTGAACTGTTTTGTACCTAAACCAAATATAGAACTAAAGTTCCTGAGGGTACCAGAATGTTCCTGTCAGAACCAGTATCTCGGTGCTTAAAACTGTCCAATTCCCATGGCAACCAGATCCTGATTCACAGGTTCCAACTTTCCCCCTTTATCTATTTTTGTTTCATTTGTCCTTCCTACAATTTACCAGTCGCCTTCCCAATCCTTGACACCCTGACCCCACCGAAAGGTGACACAAACTAGGACCGTTCCGCAGTCCTTCCTATTATTATTTTTGCCCTTAAAAAAACTCCATTCTCTAGAGTTTGCCCAAAAGGGAAACACACAACACTCGACAATGCAACAATAGTTTCTATCGGCTGGATTCTATTGGTCCGTCAACACTCGTCGGTGATTCCAAAGTTCACTGGGGCCTCTTGATCATTGATCAGTTCCAGTTATAGCACACTTGATCCTAAACAATCGTCCACACTAACAATTGACTGTACACACTGTGTAGCTCTATTTGATTCCACGTAAACCTGCTCACCAGATCTGTGTGTGTGTGTGCGTGTTGCGGTACAGTCCAATTCAGTTCAACTTCCCTGTTCAGATGTTGTGTTTCGCCGATGAATTTGCGCCTCTGCGTGCAGAAGCTTAGACATCAAATCCACGAAAGGCGATCTTTTTCGACAATCTCCTTCGTTGGAATTTTTTCAACGATTACCGAAGCAGTCTTTTGGTAGAACAACACACTGTTTGCAGGACTGGAATCGTGTGGAAGTTTTTAATTTCTTAGTTTGCCCCATCGGGACGAATATGTTTTTAGATTCTGCGATGCTGTCAGTCGCTCCGTACTGTGATGATGACAGGCCGCGGGCCCGGTCTATGCCCGAGGCGAGAACGCTCCCTATTATTAAGGGTAAGAGTGTTTTTCTACTGTAATCCACATTTCAGTGTAATCCATTTCATGTCATGGATTTTATTCATAGCTAACTGACAACATGATTTCATGTACTAAAATACTGCACTGCGGACATTTACAGCTTGCAAAGTAAATAGGGTGGCGTTCCAAAATTTTCATCAGTATCGAGCTATGTATTCCACTGGGTTGAATGAGACAGATTGAGGAAAAGTGGCTTGCCCAAGGACACATCCCATGAGTAGTAGCTGGGTTCAAACTCCAGCCCAGTCTTTTCACACACAGTAAACTGTATGCCATGCTTACCATGAAAAATGAGTTGATAGAAATTTTACACATAAGTATTTCTTAGATTTCATAACTTAAAAGAAAGTTAGGGAAAAAGTTACCGTAGAAGTCATCGTCTTTGTCATTTTTATAAAAAAAAAATTATTTTAAATTTTGAATTGTGTCCAGAGAAAATGAGAGCGAGCACGCTACCTATCATCAGTGGTAAGATTTTTACCGTGAATCCTTTCCATTCCACAGACACAACAGAACATACATGTAGAAACAAAGGGACAGAAACATTTGGGTATCGCTGAAGTGGCTTAGAACTGGAAGAGTGCCAAGTTGGAGGGGAACAATGTACACATGTACGGGTATGCTATTGACAATGTCATGAATAAAACATACCGTACGGTTACCAGAAAAGTAAATATTTTTTTAGCCTTATCAACTAGAAATGTCAGGATGTAATGACGTAGTGGAATTTTGCATACATTGATCTTCCTTTTTGGGGGGGGGGGGGTGTTAGACTGATAAAGAGATTTTAAAATCTACTTTGGAAAACTTTTTCACAAGCTTGCAGAGTTTTTAACTGTGAAAAAAAGTAAGACTGCTGCAAACTGCTTACTGACTGGATGGACCTGAAATATATAAATCTAAAAATTAATGTGGCCTGACGTTGCGAACTTAGCAAGTTCTTCTTCAGAGGCTAAAACAAAAAGTTTTTAACTGTGGTAGAGTTAGGTTTTGCTAGATCAGAAAGGGCTAAATATAGGTGTCATCATCAGAAGTGTTGCCAAAATTCTTATAGAAGATACATGAACATACAGTTTAACCACAACCACGCAACAAACTAAATCGTCATTTCTTTATTTAGACCACAGTTTCAAAAATCACTGAACCATCCACCAATTCACTCGTCCTCAAAAAAGTTCATTTGAACCAGATCATTGAACCATGGCCAGCACAATCACACGTTATTCACAAACGGCGGTTAAACGCATTCTAAAGACCCCTCACCTGAAACCCTTCCATTTCCTGAACAGCACACACGCTATTCAGTCTCAGCGGCTATTCATTCTATTATTATCACAACGTTAAACACCGTGCTGTAGACAAACAAGGCATTCCACGCTGCGTATTAACCGCTTGTGACTTGGTCGAGGGTTGTACCGTATTTTGTCTAAAAATAGACCCCAACCGCCGCTCGGATGACAAGCAATTGGCCACACCGCCGTATCGAATATATATATACTCCTCACTCCCGACCCGGCTAGCTTGACGCACGCAGTAGCGCGCCCACTTAAGGATTGCGTCTAAAAATTGCTCGCCCCGCGACAAAAACAAGGCATCGCTGTTGCCGCGTTGCGTCTTCTCGCACTGTTGTTGTTTGCGAAGGCGTTTTTGGGGTATTATTTTTGGATTGTTTTCGGAAATCACGACCTGATGTGTATTAGTGGGTGTTTGCGTTTCCTGACCCAAATTTGTGTGGGATTGTTGTAGATTTCAGTAGCGCCAAGCCTAATTTAAATTGAAAAGTCTGTTTTTCCTCATAAGTGTACATGTATAATGTACATGTACGCACTAAATACATGTACACATTCATCATACATATTGACATGTGCAACACAATGACAACACACATCCATTATCATCAGCTTTACCTTCAATCCATGTATTTATACACACGCAGAATTCCACAGCCCATTCATACGCCGAATGTTGTTTGTCGTGAATCCCTGTGCAAATTGTTATCTATTTTTATCTCCGGACGTCCTTCAAACCCTTGGCAGGCCCAATCATTCCTACCGTACCCTTGGCCCGTTCTATTCATAGGCTGTTTTTGCAATGACAGGGTACCTGTCCCTGTGCGCAGCGGCGACAACACCCGATATTATTTTTTTCCCCCGGCCTCTTACCCACATTCTATTTTTGTCGGAGATGCTATCGGGCCGGAGTGTTGTGTATTTTTAGACGGGATAGTTCAGTTTCATATCTCACAGTGGATGCTTTACGGCGCTAGCATCGCGCAAGCAATCTGCTTTTGGAAATGATTTCTTCCTGATCGAATGATAGAGTTGGATCGTGGGGTATTTTTTGCTTCGGAAATCTATGCTTCGCTTTTGTTTTGATCAGAGTGGAATTTTGACTGGGTGGATCCAGTGTCGGCGAACAGAGAGATTGTCAAATTTGCCTGGGTGTGTAGTGTCGTGAAATTCAGCTTCAATTGATTGGATTGATTTGATTTGAGCCTCTACAAAAAAAATATTGACTGGTCGGAGAATCACTACACAGGGCTGTGCAAAGTCACTTTGGTCGAGCCACCGGAAATGCATTGTGAAGGTCTCGGATTCACATCCAGACGTACATGTAAGTTGACTGTGATTTGTGAGAAAACCAGCAGTAGTCTTTTGATGACATGTATGGATTCGAACCCGGGACGTCTGTTGAGTATCTATCTGCCAGTTCTTGAGTGTACTGCAACAGGAGGCGTTCAATTGTGAGATGTTCAAGTTGCATTTTCTGCACCGCATCATACATTGACCCTGCCCTTTTTAAAATACCAACTTCATGATAGAAGTCCATCTCCATTTATTCATAGCATTATCCATTGCCTATGGAAATCATGAAACACAAAAAGAATTGCTTAAAGAAAACCCAGGATACAAGCCAATATATCATGTGAGGATACATTTCTTTGACTGGTTCTCGTCGTTTCTTTGCAAAGCATTTTTTTTCAGCAAGCTCCGTCATCAAGTCATCCAGACGTTCTCCCTACTCATCGGGTTGTCTTCGGTTTCTTTTTAACAGATTGCCACAGAGCACATCACAGTGTAAACACTGTTAAGGAATTATTTGACGATCAGTTTTACTTTTTTTGTTGTCTGTTTACAGAGTCTACTATCGGAGGAAGCCACGAATCTGTGAACATTGAGGCCCATTTCAACAGCATGCATCTGAAAGGTACGTCAAAATATCCCAACCCCAGGACAGAAATTTGCTAAGCGTGAAAATTGTACGTTTAGCAAAATCAGGGTACCAGCCAACACATCATTCACTATGTGTTTCCCGTGATTGGTTACCAGTTGATTTATGCTCAGCATGCAGAATTAGCTTAACGGTTATTTTTTTGCGTAGCAAGGTCTGTGAAATTGGGCCCGGCTTGCTGTCGGTACAATTCTGGAGAAACCCAACACCTAGACTCTGTTTTTGCATTTTCCCACCGGAGAACATTGACTTCCTTGTTTTTGTTTTTTATTTCCAAGTAGAATAACCTGGACTGAGTACTGATGATCGATGATAATACATTGCGTGAATGTCATTTGATCCAAACTAGGTCGTATAAATATCACATTACTGATCTCAACCGGAATTTTTGAAACTTGACACTTCCAAAAAAAAGTGATCACACCATAGAAAAATATCTCCTCTTGGAGTAACATGCAACGTCGACATAAATGCTTGGAGTAAAGCTAACAATTCTAAGTACTTCTTGAAGGTGGCCATTTTAAGAAACCAATTGAGATGTCTTGACATATTTGTAGGTCTTAACGAAAAAATAAATGCTGCAATTATTGCCAATATGTGAAACTGCCTGAAACCTGAAACTTTTCATGTGTTCTATTTTAGTTTTCAAACTTTTCAAATAATCCAGAAAGGAGAATGGACTAGGTGCAGCTTGTCAGTTTCTCTTCATGGTTTATTTGAAAGTTTGTAACAAAAAGCCGCATCCTCTTTGAGTGATCCCCTTTGCAGCATTGCTTATGTTGCTTGCATCGTGACTTTGGGCGTGATCCCTGGCTACATGGCAAATGCAGGCTTATGGCTTCTGACTAGCACCCCTTGAACAAAGACATTGACAAATTGGGGAACTGCCAACAAAGGGTTGGATAGCTCAGTTGGTAGAGCACCAGAACGGCAATCTGGAGGTCGCAGGTTCAAACCCCGCTCCAGTGAATTTTTGTTGTTCAATTTAAATAAAAAGCCATTATTTTCCGTTAGGTGCAGGTTACCACATCAACTCATCAAGTTTTTCCCTCTTTTTTTTGCCATTGGAGCAGAAGATGTGGCCAGTGGTCAGGTACCCGCTGGGCCCGGTGAGCTGCCCAGCCGGCTGAACCCAGAGGCTGCCCGGCAGCTGCAGAACGAGCTGATTGAGCTGCAGCAACAGCAGCAGTGGCAGCAGCAGCTGCTGATCAGTCAGTTCAAGCAGCGACAGGAACAGCTAGCCAAGCAGCATCAACAGCAGCAGCATGAACTCATACGGGTGAGATGATGAAACTCCAATCTGGTTTGACTTTCCAACCCTAGTACCTTTTTTTAATTTCATTGAATTCTGATTTTAACTGGGTAGCCCATTCAGTGAAATCCACTGGTCTCCCATGGGGCCCAGTCAAGAGAAGACAATGTGAAGAAATTACAGTTTTAGATGTGGGAGGAAAACCCCAGAAGAATATTCTGAGGCAAACCCACGGAATCAGGCAGGGACTGAAAACCCAATCCACATATTGGCCCAGGCAGGAATCGAACCCGGGCCACAGCGGTAGAAAGCGAGGAAAGTACCGCCACGCCAACCTGACTCCCTTCTTCTTAATTTTCTAAGTTATTTTTTTTTAATCCCTGATCACTAGTCATCTCACATCCTTCAAACTGTACCAGAAAATTGAAGAGGATATTTCAGGATTGAAGAAAAATGTTCCATTCTTCATTTTAACAATATATCAAGTGATCACACGTGCTTAAATTCATTCCATGCTTACATGTACTTAAAAAAGAATCTCTTTAATACTGTTTGATCCATGGTAAATTTTTCTGAATGGTCTCTCTATTTCTAAATTCTTCTTGCGCAGTCTGAAAGACTTAACGGTTCTTTTCACCCAAAGCTTTCATTGTCATAGCAGCGACAGCAGCAGCTCTGCATGCCACATTTCACAGCAGCTTGTATGACCTTTGACTTACAAGCACAAGCGTTTACCATCGCTAGTTGCCTCACTGTTAGTGTTTATCCATTTGTGAACTCTCCAAAATAGATGCCATTCTAGCACATTGCAGTTTGAAAAATTTCTTCCCCGTTCAGTATTTAGAATAAGTCTTGTTAATTAGTACCTATTGGTAACGTAATTATGCATTACATTCATTTGTCTATGAGGACCTCTCAATGTTAATGTGCGTGCTTGCAAGGCAAGATAAAAATAGTGAGACTACAGCTTTCTTGAAAACATCTGCATCTACACCAACTGCAGCGGCAACAACGCAGCAGCAGCAGCAGCAGCAGCAGCAGCAGCAGCGATCATTTCACCACTAACAGTTTCTCTCCCCTCCTTTAACCCTTCTTTTAACACCCCTTCGCAACGTTTGTGTCCTTACAGTTTCCCCTTGTCCAATTTGCATCACAGCAACAAATCCAGCACGACCGCATGATCCTGGCGCAGCAGCAACAGCAGCAGCAGCAGCAGCTGGAGGCCCAGAAGGCCCAGCAGAAGCAGCAGCAGCTGAAACAACTGCTGGCCAAGAAAGACAAACCAAGTAAGTTTGGCCCGCGGCTAAAAAGACCAAATCCAAAGTATATGGCTGCAGCTTGCAATTATGCATGCGCCTATGGAAGCCGCTTAAGCCGCTTAAGCAACTTCCATAACCATGTGTGTAACTACTAGACGAAGCCTCGTGTAATTCAAACGCGGCCTTACCCTTACCCCCCAAACATCCTTCAAAAATCAATCTGGAGGTTTTGAAGGATTTTTCGTAAGATTTGCCTAGAGAGATAAAACAACTTTAAAGTTTGCTCTTAATCGTCTAACCCTTAACCTTATATATCCTTCAAATTCAAATCGGGAGGTTTTTGGACGATTTAGTAAAATTGAGAAGAGTTACTGCCTGGCCACGATTACTTTACATGACGTTTGGTGCTCTCACAAGTAAATGTGAAAATATGTTAAGTTGTCGATTTTTAAAGAAATTCCAGAAGCCTTTTGTTTTATTCAACTCTGTTAGTAAAAACAAGGGATACTTGATACAACATAAACTAAAGATGTTGCCTTCAGCGATAATTAAACATAATTCCAAAAAAAATTGCTTTTTAAATTATTCATTCTGCCTGTTTGTGTGGTTTTACTTGTATCTGGGGCATACTGCTTTGGTAGAAAAAAAAATGTTCCTTAATTTGTCGGTTTCCTCCTCAGGTAACGGGGTCCGTTGATGTTTTTCCACGGATGTTTTTTTTTGGCTCGTAATGTAAAATATATTCTCTTTCGGTTGAATGTCAAGCCGACCTTGGCTCTAATTTAGGCATGGATTTGGCATTTCAGCTCATCTCATTCCTCCCACTCAAAAATGATCGACGATAATTGTTCTGAGAGAGAGAGACAGAGAGAGAGAAATAAAAAAAAAACGTATTTCCTTTTTTCCCATGTGGCTGAAGCCTGAAGCAGTCAAGTATGCCCTTTAGTTCTTTAAAAAAAAAGAAGTTTTTATTGGGGGAGGATGTTAGAACAGGCTTGAATATTATCGTGTTTTACATCCAATGTTAATGGAAAAACCCTTATCACATTTACCCAGACAACGAAGTGAACACGATCGCCGTAATTAATCTTATAGACAGTTCTTTATTTTGTATTCCTTCTGATGGGGATAGCTTTACGCAAGGCTCCCCCGTACTGTATCTAATCACAGGAAAGACGTAGTATTACGTCGGCTGGTGCTAAGTTTTAGCGTTGAACATTTGTTAAAAACTCATTATTATTTGAAATTTGCACCTGGCTTGATTACATGTCACAAAGGGGGTGTTTTTTTTCCCCCAACAATTGTTCCATTAAAAAAAAACCACCTGTTTTTCCCATTGTGGTTCCTCCGACATGTACTTAACCAAGTTAAAGAAATATTATTTCATTGCATAAATGCTTGTGGTGGACTTTTGTTTAATGAAATAACTATTGCAAAAGGAAATTAAAACGGAAACCAACCATTTTAGTCTAGTTTTTTTTTAACTGCCAGCTGGCATCAGCACATACGGCCATTGCAGTTTATGTCTTTTATTGTTTGGTGGTTTTACAGTAAAAATTCCACAATATCAATTAGACTACATGTGTCATTCTGCTGGGAAGCTTACATTTCTATTTTAATGGCTTACCTAGCAATGTTTACTCGGATAAGAGATTCGCAGTAAGCATGTCTCAGTATTCATTGAAATTCAACTCTTGACGGTATGACGTGAGTTGTTGAGGAGGGAAACAGGCAAATCTGTTATTATGCTGGTTTTTCAGAAATGGTCTTCTGTACATTTTAAACCCATTACTGAGCACTCAGAATTTCCAGAAATTTCTGAGAAAAAAACCCAGGTAATTATTCACTGACCTTGAGCAGATTTGAAAAAATGTCTTCATTTGTATTAAATTTAACGTCCCTGACGTACAGTCTTTTGTTGCTTAAAATTATGTTTCGATATGAACCCAACCCTTCAAAATCTGCCCAAATTCAAATGCAGTTTTGGTTATAAGTTAACGTATCTTTTAAAACTTGAGTGAGATGTGAACCTGCAACCTCCGGAACAGATTGCAGGTGCTGTACCAACTGAACTATCTAGCCCTATGTAGGAGGTTGCCCAATCTTGAGTGACACACAAACCTTTTGTAAACTTGTTGGATAAATGTACCCAACAGGCGCCAACCCGTCCGAAGAAGTCAAGGAGAAGCTGCAGAAGTTCCTGCTGGACCGCAAGCAGCGTAGCGAGATGGCCGCCAGCGGGGGTCACAACCACTCCCCACCCCAGGCCTACCGCCAGTGGTCCATGGCCAACCGTAGCCCCCACGGCTCCATGGATCACCACTCCCCTCCCCATAACATCTCCGCCCACTACCAGCCCATGTTTGGACAGTACGACAGTAACTTCCCACTGCGAAAGACAGGTAAACCGAAAAATGTAAAAACGAAATTATATTTACCAATGCCTGCGTCACTCAATTAGAATTTCCTATTTTAATATCCCTAAGTGCTGCCATGCCAAAATTAAATTCCTAAGCCCACTCAGCTGATGGAAATGTGGAGGTCTATTTTTAGAAACTTGGCGCCGGGCGGGGTTCAAAATGCGGTCAAGTGACGGCACATGTACTTATTTCCCCCATTGAACTTTGTTCAACGCAGCGAGCATTGACTGCATAAGTGGTGCCGTCAAAATTTTTACAACTGCTGGATTTGTAATTCAATTTACATGTTCAACGACTGTCGTGGGTAAGGTACCCTTACATGTATGATGAAAGTACATTCAACAGTTCAACACGACATTTATAATTAAACAACACCTGACTTAATCCCTGTCATCTAATTGGTGGGTCGTTGATCACATGTCGTTGAATTATTCGTCTCAAGCATGGCGCGGCGGCACAGCAAAAATAGAATTTCCATTCCACGGTAAATTGAACTTCCATTGCACGGTCACACTTTTGGCAGCTTTGACCAATCAGATGACAAGGATTTAATCAGGTGTGGTGTAAAACATATAATGAATGTTTCATATTTGTGCAATTTGTTTCATTAGGTGACAGATGGAATGTTCCATTCCTCTCAGCTTGGCCTCCTTGAATGGAACATTCCATCCGTCACCTCATGAAATTATTCTTACCATTGCACTCACAAACATTATTTGTATACCATAGCACATGCGTGTAAATATTAAAATTGCAATCAAAGTTAGAGGCCGGATGTTTCATTTCTAAGTTAAACTGTTCTATTTTTGTATGCGACACAGATTCTAAAAGGATAAAAACATTAAGTCCTGTAACATTTCAGGTAAGCTTAGTTCACAATAACAAAAAGAGTACGGACTTAAAATACCACAGACTAAATGTTGTTGATGTGTGTTTTTTCCATTGTGGACGTCTAGCCTCGGACTCCAACCTGAAGGTTCGTTCCCGCCTGAAGGAGAAGGTAACCGAGAGGCGGAGCCACGGCAGCCCCCTCCCACGTCGACGGGACGGGTCCGGAAGCCTCAAGAGGAAGCCATTAACAGGTGGGTGGGCGGGGCTAATGAAAAAAAAGGGTTTTGATAAAAATGAAAAAACATAGGGAACCTTTTCTAAAAACAAGTCTGGTAGCTATGGCCCAACTTTTATGTTTGATTCTTCAAAATCCAATGAGAGGTTTAGAAGGACTTAGCAAGATTTAGAAAAATCGGAAACAAAGTTGTCTGTGGCTTAGTGTTAAAGAGTGAGTACAAATTAAAGAAGCCGCAGCCTTTGACAAAAATTCCTGCAGCGGCTCACTGACAAGGGTGACTTTCTTTTAAGCAAGTAGTTCCCCATGTGGTGTCTTCAGGGAACCATACCAATATGGCTGCTCATGATATGTACTTTATTTCCTTCTTTTTATGTCTGGTACCCTACAGTTGACACCTCTCCATCAAGTAGTACTCCTGGCTCGGGGCCCAGCTCACCCCTCAGTGGCGGCGACGGAGCCAATGGTCTTGCAGCAGCTGCCATGCCAGAGGTAAGACCCCCTAGGTTCCTAATATTTTTTTTTGTTTCTCAAGAAGTTTTACTTTTTTCTGCAGATGATGTCAATAAGAGCTGTCAGTTGAAAAATAGTAATAAAGAAATGTGTGCAAGAATGTGGATTGGTCCTACATCTGAAAATGTGTTGCAAAATATCTGAATTACTTTGTTAGTATTTTTTGCCTTTTTTTTATTACCGAGTTTTTTCCTGCTGTTTCTGGCTGCATTTTTTTTTCTGACCAGCTTCCATTTCTCATTCCTCAAATGTGAGCTACATTGTTCTTCCTATGGCATTTCACCTACATGTACCCCGTGTTGGAATATGGCAGAAAATATAAGGATTGGAACAAAGCCAAATGGGGTTTATAAAATTTTAAAAAAAAAGAAGAAGATATAATCAGGGAAAAATGTATTTGTCGGAATGGTATGACATGTTTGTCCTTTGTTTTAGGGTTCGTTGTAGACTGTGAGAATATGATGAGTTGTAGAATGACACTAAGTATCTTGTTTCTTATTTTTCAACCTATTTTCGGTTTCGACAAGAACTGACTTGAATCTTGTGCATGAGGCAGCATTGAGCATATCGGCATTTGGTATTTGGATGGCATGCGCTTTACTTGGCATTGTTTTAAAAATGACTTGGATCTTTGACCTTTCAAGACTCTAGTTCATCGTTTACTTTCAACCCAAAGGCAAGGACAAGAAAAAAAGCAATTCCACAGCAGGAAGTAATATGCTTATGAGGGGCTTGCCAAGCCGTCACATTTAGGCTATTCTTCATCCCCAGTTAATACTCGCTTCGCATTTTGGAATTGGGCCAAGACTTCTAGGAAACGTTTACTCATGCAAGACTCCCCTTACGTATAGTAAATATATTGGCGGAAATCGTGTATTTTTATAAGGGAGGGGGGAAACCGACTTGGTTAGGCGGAAAATGGAAAATCACATGCGTCCAAGTATAGGCCCCATTGGGATTTGAACCTAAATCTTGAGGCTGCCGGTTAAAATGTAACATGATTTGATTGCCACTGACTGGTCCTCAGTCGATAGGTTTCTTGGTTACATTAATATTTTCGTTAGCTTTTTTTGGCCCATAAAAAGTTTTCGTTGTCAAAGCATGTGGAAAAAATATGTTTACATACAAAAAAGAAGTCAATAACATTAAAAAAAAAAGGAACTAGCACACTTAAAAATTATTTTGGTTGTTGATCATCAATATTCATTTCTCTTTTTAAAAATTTTTTTTTTACAGTTTGCGATTATTTTTCAGTTGTAGTTTGTGGTATTAACAAGAATATAGTCACTAGACCAGTGTTGCATTTTAAAGTGCACAAACTTTGATTGAAACTTCTAAATGTGTTGGATGTTAAATTTGTGTGCAGTTCTCCAAAATCGACTTCATCTACATGTAGCAGACATGTTGCACAACGCCCACAGCTAACCCGTGATATTTCCAGCTGCAATTTGTGGGTTTCCTCATTAGGGCAACTTCCTGCAAAAACAACCCCCTTAATTGGGACTCCGCCTATTACCGGGATCGGCGGGATCGTTTGCTAGACTTTCCTCCGGGGGGAGGGAGGGAGCGGGGCGGGGGAGGGAGAGGTGGATACAAAAGGAACATTTATAGTGCAAGCACTAATTGCTGATTTGAGTGCCCAGGCAAGGAATCTTTGTGGAAAAAGTTGCTCCCTTGGATACAAAAGAGGTCTGGTTCCCATCTTGTGCCCATGTGTGTGGCTTATTCAGCTGCACAAGCTGCAAAATCAATCAAGTGACGTTTTTAAAAGTTTAAGAATTCCTTTGTTAGTTTGCTACAGCCATGCTTTGACTGTAGGTGATTGATCGTGTATGCCAGCTGTACCTAATGATTGCCTCTTCTGTCTGCTGACGGAATTTGACTCGTCAGTGTTTACACGAACGTGATCTGACTTTTTTTTGGTACTAGTCTGTATACAAAATGCATGGTAGGGGAAGTGGAAGAGATTTTTTGACTGTCTTTGAATGATCAAACAATCGGAGGGATTCATTTTATGTGAAATACAACACATTGTAGGATTGAGGATTGTAGAATTAAACCATTAGTACTTAACAAGGGGCGTGACACCCCCTCCAAAATGTCATTACAGAGAATGTGTCATCGGTTTCATGCACAGTGGTAAATTTTGGAGGAAGATTTAATAAAAAAGAAAGAAAGACGTTTCCTTACTTCGAATTTTATGTCGATTCCCTGCTAAGCGCTCAATCATTTGTAAGAGAACCATTGTTCATTTTGTGTAGAGAACAGGCAGTAAGCATGGTAAGCAGAACAAACTCGCTTAACAGTATATCCTGCCCAGCAGGTTTGAAAGTCCTGTGCTGGGGTCATTTTACCATGATATTGGGCCCTGGTTCGGAAGTAAAAAAGTAAACTCCCCCAGATGCTGATAAACGAACGCATGCTACTTGGATGACTGTCCAGCCCCGCTCTGATCGTATAACCGTTTCTCTTGGCACTGTTTTTTGCAGGACGTAAGCAGCTACCTGCTGCTGAAGCGCATGTACAGCAACAGCACCAGCGACGTCAACCTCTACACCTCGCCGTCCCTGCCCAACATCTCCCTGGGCCTGCCGCCGCCCGCCGGCTCATCCCAGCACTCGCCGCAGATGGTAGGTACAAACCTCAAATCTGAGTGCAAGTTCTGCTGAGTTTCAGTACTGAGTGCTGAGTCCCAAGTGTTTCGTCTGAGTGACGAGTGTTTATTCTGAGTCTCGAGCGTTGAGTTTTAGCCCCACGTGCTGAGTTTTATTTCCCGGGGTAGAGTTTTAGGTGCAAGTGTCTAGTCCGAGTCTTTGAGCTGAGCGTTGAGTTTCGTTCTTGAGTGTCTAGTCTCAGTTATATGTACTAGTGCCTAGTGTGCATTCTGAGTGTGAGTCATGAGTGTGAGTCATGAGTGTGAGTCATGAGTGTGAGTCCTGAGTGTTGAGTCCTGAGTGTCTAGTCTAAGTGACAGCTGCCTTGACTGAGTTTCAAATGTTGAGTGTGCTGTTCTTACTCTTTGAATGGCTGACTAATTTGTAGTTTGCTCTGCTCGATTGTGTTGGCTGCTTTTGTAAATGGTCAAATGCAAAAATGCAGTGGTTCCATTTACATCTCTACCAATGACCAGGTTTTACTCTTTAACTTGTGCTTTTGACCTCACTTTAAATCCAAAGCATCCGTCTCTGTATCTCCTAGTACCGTCACTCCCATTCCAATCGTTTTCCATCACTTCCCTTCAATTTTCAAAAACTCCCTTCATATCCCAACAATTCCCTTCATATCCCAACAACTCCCTTCATTTCCCAACAACTCCCTTCATATCCCAACAACTCCCTTCATATCCCAACAACTCCCTTCATATCCCAACAACTCCCTTCATACCCCAACAACTCCTTTCATATTCCAACAACTCCCTTCATATCCCAACAACTCCCTTCATATCCCAACAACTCCCTTCATATCCCAACAACTCCCTTCATATCCCAACAACTCCCTTCATATCCCAACATCTCCCTTCGTCTCCACCCCCGTAACTTGACACCCCTCTGCCACCCGGTTCATAGTTGCCTGTCGCTTCTGTCTCCTGTAGAAGAAAATCCTGCGTGCCCAGTGCCGTCGTTACAGGGTGCGGTCCTGTCGGTCCCTCGGCGCCGTGTCGCGCTTTGAAGACATCAGTGAACAAGTATAACGCCCTTAGCATCCCGCGAATATGCTGAATGCCGAACGCCTGTCTGCCTTGCGTTACCCTTGTGCATGCTATGCATGGTAGACACAGTGCCCAAAAGCATGCAGTAAAGACCTTTAAAAACCTGCATGGCATCTTGTATTGTATCGAGGTCGAAGGTCATTGTAGCCTCCCACCAGTCTGAAGTTTACACAAATATTATGAGGTAAGGTCTGGCAACCCGACTTCACTAAATAGAATGAATGCACTACCGTGGACAGTTTTACCCGAACCAGGATTTAAAACATTTCCAGACTTGTCACCTCGGCTGAAATGTCAAATATATGGATTTGCAAAGTCAAATTATTAAAAGAGATGTCGTCAAGGCCTGGCTGAAACACGGAAGTCTTCATTGAGACAAATTTGCTCCTGGACCAATAAGGAATAGCGACCATGTAGAAATCTCACAAAAGTTGCCGTTTAAGAATCTCATCCCTACTCTAAGAGCGTCTCTCTCCTTCCTTTTCTTCTCCTAGCAAACCGCAGGCAAGCCACCGATGAACGACGGGATGCGTATCAAGAACCCGCTGCCAGGCGGACCGGTCATCGCCCCTGCCTTCATACCCACCGCACAGCCAGGTATGAAAATGCACATTTTATTTTTGGTTAATTCTTTCGGATAAACAAACACAGGGTTTTTAAAAACTGGACAGGCACTTAAAAGCCGAAGAAACTTTGTGCACGGGCTAAGCACTGGAAGCAGAAGACAATGCAACATGTAACAAACTTGGAGACAGGATGAAACTTTTGAATTTTTTTTTTTTTAATTTTTTTGGGAGGGGGGAGATAAACCCTGAAACAAAATTTCATGGGAACAGCAGAATTTGGCAGTGATTGCGAACCCAGTCAACATATTGATTGTAGGATTTAAAGGTATAGTCCATCATTTGTAATTTGTGCATTTTGTTCGTTTGAAGCAACAATAGTGCTCAAAATCTAATGAAGGATACTGAACAACTAACCTGATGAAGTTTCAGCTCAGCTTCAGCTGTATATTCCGAGAAAAACAGCATTCTAGGATCTCGATTTCAAATCAAAAGTTGCTGAATCATGTTTTGAATTGGGCCTGAATTCAGCGCCCGAGACACGCTGTCACTGAGCCGATCGCAGCTACGTGATGTCGCGCACCGATCCGACGAATTATAGCAACCGCGCGCGCGTGTGTGTCGTGCCAACGCTTGCGCGCACTTCGCCTATTGAAAAAAACGAACTACTAACGGAAATTTCCAACGGTGCTTCTTAAGACGCACCGTGGGAAAGGCCTTCTTTTGCTGATTTCTTCAGAATGACAGCTTGCCTGAAAGAATAATTTCACAGGGAGTTTAGTCCCCTTACTATCTTTCAACCAAGTATGTTTTTCAACTATAAACACGCCAGTTATTTTTTGGATAGCTGCAAATGATGGACTCTAGCTTTAAACATTGGTTGTAGAAGTTGTAGGGAAAAAATGTTTCACCAAATGATCATTAAAGTAATGCGGCTTCTGTGAGACAGCATCCTGTGTGCTTCAAGTATATCCCTCTTTGGAATGAGATAGCTCCTGAAGATTGTTGTGAAATTCCAACCATCTATTATCATAGGAGGACGCATTTTAGTCCTATCGCTATCTTGTGCCTAAACTCCTGTGTTAGTTTCATCACATGATACACGCTGTGAGTCTGTTTTGATTCAGTTGGAAATAGGCAGTGCGCGCTGAGTGCTATTCAGGAATGAGCATTGATGTTGACATGAGATCAAGAATTTTTGAGGTCTTGACTCTGTGCAGATCCTTCTGTAGTTGGTCAGTTGGGATTAATTGAAATCAACCAGCTATTTTGATGAATATTCATGTCTTATCTTGTGATGTCAGGTACCATTCTGCCCACCGGCGTGCCGCCAGCAGCCATGCTGGGTGGTATGCCCCTTCATGAGGCCAACTCCATGAGTTTGTTAGGAGGTGGTGCCGTCGCCCAGAGATTAATAAGGTAAGATCACCCACCCCGTCCCACCCCCTATCCCCACTCCCACCCCCCACCCCAACCCCCCACCCCTACCTCACTCTCCCTCCCCCACCTCGACCCCTCCCCCACCTCAACCCCTTCCCCAGGAAGGCCCTTCCACACCCTTGCCACGCCCTTGCCACGCCCTTGCCACACCCTTGCCATGCCCTTGCCACACCCTTGCCAAGCCCTCATTCCCAATTATCCCGTCTCTTAGCTATTTCAAGTCCTAAAGTTCTGTTTGAAAAATCATCCAAATTTCATTGATATCTATGCAATTTCCAGTTCTCATACAGTCCAGAGTCTTTGTTTTTTCTTTTTTTGATGTATTCATTTCTCATCCACATCTGTAGTCATTTGCCGTGTTGAATGCAAGGGTCTGTATGCAAAATGTGAATTGTACATGTTTAGCAATATAATTGAGTTGTCTGGAGTACAGTACAACAATTTTCAAAATGTTTTATACATGTAAGCATCTTCCTCTTGTCGCGTGTACTTATTTAGGTCTATTCTGTACAGTATTTCCCCCAAAAAGTGTCCGTCTGACTATTTTTAAAATCGCTACAAAACCACGAAGTCAATTTTGAAATTTGTTGGTTGTGTAGATACTCCTAAGCCTTGGCCTCAACCCCTGTGAGTTTCATTTCATTTCAGTCACGCATCACTGCACAATTGTCAATTGATCACAACAACATTTTTGGACACTGTAACTGACTTCCTTGCCTTAATGAATTTCAGTGCTGTGTTATGTAAGCTGTGTAAAATCCTGCATGTTGTGAAAAGGGCTGCAGTTGGGATTGGAATCATTTGCCTGGCTACCAGTCATCATGGCTAGACATCAGTTTAATGCTCAAGTGCAAATGATTCCAATCCCAAACCACATCAGCCTTTTTTTTCACAACATGCAGGATTTTACACAGCTTACATAACACAGCACTAAAATTGATTGCAGAGTTATCATTCGCTAAAAAAAGGAGTGTGGAAACAACAAACTATCAAGTTTGTATTTTTGACAAGTAATTTTTTTTCAAATAACTTTGTAGCGAAGAAAACAAAAATCAGGAATTCAGGGTGAACCAAGTCCAAACAATCTTTTGAATACCAAAAAGGGCACATTCTTCAAAACAGCCCTATTGACGTAGGCCCGGGTTTTGATAAAGCCGATCACATTTCATCACATAGTTGTACAACGTGAATTTGATCACCGAAGGTTATCACTTGAGCGGAGGTTATCTCATAGTGACGCCAGCACAGCTTCACACTATCTTTACCCTGGGAAGTGCCTGGTTTTAGACTCAGCTCAAGTCTGACTTTACGCTAGAAACCAGGTCGATACAAAAATATACATTCCTTTGAAGAACATCCTTCAAATAAAATGCTTGTCCTTGGAAATGCCATATTCACACAATCCTCAGTTCTAGATTATAAAGTGCAGTTTGTATTCTACAGCTGTTAATGACTATGATCAGAATTGTGCAAGTCTATGTATCACTGTCTACCATATTTCGATTTAAATCCATTACAGTTTATACTGCTCTTCAAATTGGTTTTGAATATCTATTGAATTAAATAATAATAATAATAACAGGTTCTTATATAGCGCTTTTAACTAAGATCAAAGCGCTTTCCATTATTATTACCCCTAATCATTGGGCCAATTAAACATTCCATATACCATCTCAGCTCCCTGGGGAGTATACAGCTCGATGCAGCCTGTTAGGCGCAAGGAAGCTAATTCAATCACAATAACCATCTCTGCCCTCACAGGTACCCATTTACTCCTGGGTGGAGAGAAGCAATGAGTGACAAAGTGCCTTGCCCAAGGGCACACGCACCATGACCCCGGCTGGACTCGAACCCACAACCTGCAGCTTTACCCGCAGACCACGAATCAGTGCCCTTAACCACGAGGCCACAGCACTCCATCGCTTGACCATTTGATCATTATGTAGTACGCCACCAGACTTTCCACTTGTTTGTTTTCAAATCATAAACGTGTCATCGTCATTTGCATCTGTCATCATGTGGTATCACCATGCCCCTGTTTTCCCCCTTTATACTTAACCACTCCAGACCTATCCACAGGCCCCTAGCCCGGACCCAGTCGGCCCCCTTACCCACCAGCCAGCAACGCGCCCAGCTGCACCCGCAGCAGCAGCAGCAGATTATGATGCAGCAGCAACACCAACACCAGCAGCATCAGCAGTTCCTGCAGCAGCAGCAGCAGCAACTCATGGCGCTGCAGCAAAGACAGGTGAGTCGGCGCCATCTGCAATTTTGATTTTAACTTTTGCTTTTGTTTAGCTAAAATTTTAGTGTTATAGTGAAACATTTGCATATATGCATATTCGTATCCAATGCCTATTGGATTTATTATTATTTTGACCTCATTTGCATACATGCATATTCAATCTCTTTAGCAGCAGGAGGATGCGGCTGCCGAGAAGGAGGCAGAGGAGGCGGAGCACAAGCAGGTGCAGAGCCTGCCGCTCAAGAACATCACGGAGATCAAGCAGGAACCTATAGACATAGAGGAAGAAGATGAGGAGGAAGAGGAACGCTTACAACTACAACAGGTCAGACGTCAAAAACCCTCAAAAGACGTCAAAAATCCTCAAAAGACGTCAAAATCCTCAAAGATGTCAAAAATCCTCAAAAGACGTCAAAATCCTCAAAGATGTCAAAAATCCTCAAAGATGTCAAAATCCTCAAAGATGTCAAAAATCCTCAAAGATGTCAAAAATCCTCAAAAGACGTCAAAATTCTCAAAAGATGTCAAAAATCCTCAAAAGACGTTAAAATCCTCAAAGATGTCAAAAATCCTCAAAAGACGTCAAAAACCCACAAAAGACGTCAAAAATCCTCAAAAGACGTCAAAATCCTCAAAGATGTTAAAAACCCTTAAAAGACGTCAAAAATCCTCAAAAGACGTCAAAATCCTCAAAGATGTCAAAAATCCTCAAAAGACGTCAAAATCCTCAAAGATGTCAAAAATCCTCAAAGATGTTAAAAACCCTTAAAAGACGTTAAAATCCTCAAAGATGTCAAGAATCCTCAAAAGACGTCAAAAATCCTCAAGCAGACTAAGGAATCTAACCTAACTCATTAGATATAGACTGAATCATTTAGCCCCTCCTATCATATTTTTTTGACCAATCACAATAGAGGTCAGATGTTGTAGCCCCAGTCTGAACTATCTTTCCTTACTTGTGTTTATCGTTTTTTAGGAGCAAGAAGAATTAATGCGACAACAATCACTCGGATGCCTGCGTCTGACAGGAACAGGTAGGTCTTCCCAAGATTTGTTGCTTTCCTTCTCTGGTGTGTGGTTCATTCATCATCGGTTGTCCCTTTTTCATCCTTGATGTGAAGTTAGTCTGAGGTCAGAAGTCGAACATTGTACATCTATGGGGAGCCAAATGTGACAAACAGTTTCCAAACCAATTTTTTTGGACAGTAGCTTCTCCGATAGTCAGAGCATACTGACTGGAACATCGAGTTCATACCTCTGGTTCTTTTCACAACCATTCTCTTAGTTGAGAAATTATTCGCACATGGTGTTTCCGCAAACCTTTCATTATTTAGTATCTCCACCATGCAAAGCCTCAAATCTTACTTTTCTCCGATAGTGATTGCCGACACCTGACCTTTGACCTCAGGTCACCTGACAAATGGCAAATGGGACAATCAGTGATAAATAATGTGTTTCTAGTAACCTTTAATGGATCCAAGAATACATAGGGGGCACTCATGCCAAAATTTGAGAAATGTAAAAATCTTTAGTCTGCAAATCCAAATTGCAAAAGGTACTTTTTTAGTGTACCGCCCCCTATTTTGCTATTCTGGATCCGCCCCTTGCTAGTAACCCCTCTCTGTGTGATGTGTATATTGCAAGCATTCGCCTGCTGTTATCCCTCACGATTGGTGTCAGTGCGCGTAACTTTTGAGGGCGCTCTAAATCTGAATCATGTGACACATCCCGGCCAATCGGGGCTCAGTGTGTCGCTTGGATGATGCAGTAGTTTACCAGAATAGAGCGCCCTCATTGTTGTAACGGTTGAAGGCTGTTAATCCCTCCTGTACCTTTCCTTCGCACAAATGAATGTGTGTTTCTTTTTTTTTTATGACCCCTTCTCCATTTCCTACCCAATCAACATGCCTTTGCAGAAACGATGTGTTTATTTTTTATGACACCCCCCCTTTCATCATCCGTTATCCTGTCAGTATTCCCGTTTTCAATTCCTTGCCAGCACACCAGTGACATTCCCCCCAAAAAACGATATTCAAAAAATTAATCCAAAAAGTTGAAACTCTGCATGTGTCCTGAACACACAAAAAATCCCTTGAACAAATGGAGGAGTTGAGACGTCCCAATCACGTCAGTTCATTCCCCAACAGAAATGTTGCCCGGTAGCCGGCCCACCGGTGGTAGCCGGCCCGCCGGTAGCGGGCACCGGCCCCTGTCCCGAGCCCAGAGCTCCCCGGCCGCAGCCAATCATCCGGCCGCGCTGGGACCCACGGACCACCATCTCCATCTCCACCATCACCACCAACACAACCTTCCCCTACATCACCACCACATCAAACATTTGTTCACCACAGGTACGCATTTACCCCTAACCCCTAGCGCCCCCCTTCCCTACCGAAGAGTTTTGTGATAAAAGTGTCGTTCCTCCGACAGTGGCTGTCACGCTTGTAGTCTTTTGGGGATTTGTTTTTCTTTTTTGTGGTTCTTGTGACAGTATTTTTCTGCCCTGCATTGTGGATGTTCAGTACTTTTCCCCAGTATTATTTCCTTATAGTTGGCCTTGTCGTGAATCTAGTTGCTTCTATTTCTTTCTTAAAGAAAAAAAAGAAGGGTCTTTGTTTCAAATAACTGTTAGAATTTTGAGGTGGTAGATATTTCATGCAATTAATATTTGGTTACCCATTGAATACTAACAGCTTAAAAGTCTTACACAATTTGAGTAATACAATTTTGGTTCTTTATTATTAAACTGCTTTTTCTCTAATAAAAAAAGTGACTTCTAAAACTGTCCAAAGTGCTTAGCTCGAGAAGCATTCCCTGAAATGTAGTAATTTATGTTCTTATCTCAAAACTGGTACTTACAAGAAGTAGCAGTTACACTAGTTTTCACGTCTTCATATCACTAAAAAGCCAATTGTTAGCCAACGCAAATGCTTTGTTAGCAGGAAGTAGGCTTTTGAAACTCACATTAAAATAAATCTGACCGATACTTCTTATTGCTGTTTCTGAGAAAGACTTGTTTACAAATTCCCCCGATTGTTGTTGTTTACTACATTGACAGGCCTTGCCTACGATACACTGATGTTGAAGCATCAGTGTACGTGCGGCAACAACGCCGCACATCCCGAACACCCTGGGAGGTTGCAGAGCATCTGGGCACGTCTACAGGAGACGGGCATCGCCAATAGATGCGAGGTCAGTAAGACCTATCGTTTATCCGCTCCGCTCTCTTTAACCCTAAAATCCTTTGCCTTTCTTCCTCAGAATATATTCCTGAATACTGTCTGTTTGCAGGGGCCCAGTGGTAATTTTTGTCCTTCAACTTCTTCATGGAATCCAATCTGGTGAAAGAATGACTCGACTCCACTTTTCACAATCTTGCAAATTCTCAATCCTCTCAGTCGATCTGGGAGGGTTAGCACCAATGATACTAAAACTTGATAGATTTTCTTGTTACTGTTACGAGCGTATTGTGTTCAGTTGTTTTTCCTGATAACTGTTGTTTTGAATGTAACTTGTATTAGCCCAAAATTCACATTTTCCATATTTGTTTTCCTTTTACTTCACAGCGCATTCGAACCAGAAAAGCTACTTTAGATGAACTCCAGTCTTGCCATAGGTAGGTGCCCAGTAGTCTTGTTTCTGAACTCCCCCTCCTCCTTCCAACCAAAAAGGGGAACAAAAATTATTAAATTTTTGTCATCTTTTCCACATCCATCTGTATTTATCAAGGAACAGTTTATCATCTTCCCGTGGTACATTTCCTTTCAATTTGAGTTTCCAAAAAATTTCAAGAGAGAGTTAACGATAATTCCTTCTTTTTTTTCAGTGAGGGTTACGTCCTATTTTACGGCACCAGCCAACCCAACAGATCCAAGATAGACAGCAAGAAACTAGGTAGGTCATCCTTTATATTCTTCCAAATCTTTAACCTGAATTCTGCAGTCCTAAACCATCAGCATGTTCTACCTCGACGTTCTGTAGTCCTTGAGAATTGATGTCCCGTTTTCTCTACCCCACAGCCTGTATTCCTAAGCTGAACTTTACCTGGCTGCCCTGCGGAGGCTTGGGTGTCGACAACGACACTGTCTGGAACGACATGCACTCACCGAGTGCTGCCAGAATTGTAAGTAACACCCAGTAATTAACTAATCGTAGGGTTTGACCCAAAATAGTTGAAATCATTTGTAATCTGATAATATTGATTGTGTGCTTTGAAAAGCAAACCTGACTCATTCTCGATCCATGTGCCATGGTATGTGGATTCGAACTCTGACGAGGAACTTGGGTCCTTGGGCAAGACACTTGACTACAATTGCCTCTCTCCACCCAGGAGTATGAATGGGTACCAGATTGCACTGATCTCCTTGCAGAAAAGTGGTCTCGTGGCCTATCGAACAGGAGTGATAATTGAAACCTACAGTTGTTGGAAAGTGCCTAATAAGCATCATGATTATCTTTCCCATCCCCAGGCGGCTGACTCCATCATTGAGCCTAATAAGCATCATGATTATCTTTCCCTAATAAGCATCATTGAGCCTAATAAGCATCATGATTAACTTACCCATCCCCCAGGCAGCTGGCTCCATCATTGAGCCTAATAAGCATCATGATTATCTTTCCCTAATAAGCATCATTGAGCCTAATAAGCATCATGGTTATCTTTCCCGTCCCCCAGGCTGCTGGCTCCGTCATTGAGCTAGCATTCAAGGTCGCCGCCGGTGAGCTCAAGAACGGTTTTGCCGTGGTGCGTCCGCCGGGCCACCACGCCGAGACCTCCCAGGCCATGGGATTTTGCTTCTTCAACTCCGTGGCCGTGGCCGCCAAGCAGCTGCGCCTCAAGCTCAAGCTCAACAAGATCTTGATTGTGGATTGGGTAAGGGCTGGGTCACGTGACTGGAATCCTTGTATCCGATTGGATGAGATGCATCATGTGATTGAAAGCTCTGTCCCTGATTGGGTGCAATGTATCATGTGGTTACAAATCTTGCTTGTGATCATGTGGTTCAGTGTTTATTGGCTTGGGATGGATGATCACGATTCAAATTCTGATTGCTGATTGGGTGAAATTAATCACACGACTCAAATCCATCTTAATGGGTACTATGTAAAACCAGCTCTGATTGTTCATTGGTTAAAATTAATCATGTGATTAAAATCTTTTAAGTTAATTTGTTGGAAGTGTAAAATCTTAAATCAAAAAAAAAAAAATAAAATTGTATTTTTACCTCAACTTATGGTGTTTTAACCCAGAATCAAATTGATTTTAAAGTCAACAAAAAGTTATTAATATTTCTCCCAAATTGCCAATTGTTTAGGATGTTCACCATGGCAACTCGACCCAGAAGATTTTCTACGAGGATCCCCACGTTCTCTACATCTCCTTGCATCGTCACGACGAGGGCAACTTCTTCCCGGGGACTGGCGCTCCGGACGAGGTAAAAGAACCCAATCAATTAGGCTTCCACATTTTCCGTCTTTGTAAACGCACCGTTTGAGGCTATTGTTCCGAAGCATACTCGTTTGTAAATTTCAATTCATAAATACCTCAGACAGTCTAGCTATTCCTATTGGTCGAGAGCTGATCATTACCCTCGCCTCCGGCTCGGGTAATTATCAGCATCCAGACTCTAAGTAGTCTTAAACAGAGTGATAAAAACCTCCGGAGCACACATTTATTCCCTTATTCATTCTTGGGTTTTTCTTCCTTTGGTTACAGTGCGGATGTGGTGCTGGCCTGGGCTACAACGTCAACATTGCCTTCCACGGCAACTTGGACCCGCCGATGGGCGACACAGAATACTTGGCCGCATTCAGGTCAGTTTACTCAAACGTTGTCGGCACAAATCGAACAAATGTCTTTGTGTCATCAAACTTTAAAGGGAAGATACAACATTTGCAAACATCTCAAAACGAAATGATCAAATTATCACAAAATACCTTACTGGATTGTTAGGGAATGACAGTCTAAAGCATCCTGTAAAATCGTGGCTCCTGGTGTGCTAACATTTTCAAGAAAAAATGTATTTTTCCAACGCTGGTCGGCCAACCAGCGTTGGAGAAAACTGGTTTTTTTTTCAAAAACTGCTTGCAAACTCTTTGCTGCAAAAACTGCAAAAACTATTTGCAATCGATTACACACCTGTGAAGGGGTACAAGCCTGCTAGACTGATTCTCTGAACTTACAATTCCCCCAAAGTCTATAAATTCTCCGTTTCATCTTAAGTGGGGTCAGGGAACCAAACTACAAGAAAATGTATGGTTTTTCCAGCATCTACAAGCCCGAAACGTGAAACAAGTCATTTTAATAATATTTGCTATAACATACTAATCCTCCAAATACATTTATTTCTGAAAATTGAAGCAAAAGCAAATGTTGTACATTCCCTTTAAGGACTGTCGGGTGATGTCCTAAAACTTTATTTCAAGAAGGCCCGAGTACAGTCTCTTTTGGGGAGGGATGAGGCACAGAGTTATAAAACGGTGGACAAGTTCCCTTTCAGCTCAAGACTTAGAGTGATATTTCTTGTTGATTTTTTTTGGTAGGTCTGTGGTGCTACCTATTGCCCGCGAGTTCTCCCCTGATGTGGTCCTGGTCTCGGCAGGGTTTGACGCCGCTGAGGGACACGCTAACCCCCTAGGGGGCTACCTGGTCACCCCTGCCTGTACGTTCAATTCCATACATATTTTTTTTTAACCTATGAAGAACAAAACCTTCATTTTGATGTGAGAAAAATCAGAGATACAAGTTAGAAAAGCCACAACTTCTATGACTTTTTAAGCAATTGGTAAATTGAAAAATTAGTAAATTGAAAAATTTACAAATGTTTTTTTTTAAAAAGGTCAGCAACTTTGATGAGAAACTCTGAGAAAATCTGTGCTCTTGTCAAAAGAGGGAGATTCGTATGGGGAAAATCCTAAATATTTACTGGTAAAATGTGTGATTTCTTAGCGGTATTTGCCTTTAAATCCACCGACACAATCTTTTTTTGCCGAAAATGGGGAAAAGTAATAGTCACAGGGTTCCAAATGTGTTCATTCAGTCAAAAGAATGAAAAAATGGGTGTTGGGTTTTTGGCAATTTTGTTGGTTAAATGAGGATTGAGTGCCAAGACAGCAATGTCATGAAAACCCCCACAGATTTAGGCAAACTGTTTCCAGGTACCTCAAGGAAATGCCGACCAATCGCTCTCTCTCGCTCTCTCTCTCAGGTTTTGGCTACATGACGCGTCAGCTGATGACCCTAGCCGGCGGCCGGGTGGTCCTAGCCCTAGAAGGCGGCTACGACCTGCCGGCCATCTGCGACTCATCGGAGGTCTGCTCACAGGTCCTGCTCGGGGAGGAGGGACCGCAGCTGAGCGAACGAGCCATGAAATCACTGCCCAACGACAAGGCGGTGGAGTGTCTGCAGCGCGTCATACAAACACAATGTAAGTAGCCTATGTCTACATCTTGGACAGCACTTAGCATGTAGTACTTATGGTAGTACTTTATTGAAGGGAAAGACCCAATACTACTATTATTATTATTTGTTTTTTAGCTGAGTACTGGACCAGCGTGCGAGCCATGGGTCCCTTAGTCACCTGCTCAGCCCAGGAATCCAACCAGCTACTCCAACGAGAGAAAGACGAAGCTGAGACTGTCACTGCCATGGCGTTACTCTCAGTCCGACAGAAAGCAAGGTATGTTAGCCAGCCAAGCACTCGAGTACTACTCAAGTACCAACTTTTAGTACCCGAGACACAATCAAGTGCTAAGTTTTGGCATTAAGTATTCAGATAATAGTACTGACATTTAGTACCTGAACTTCAGTCAAGTGCTATTTCTCAAGTTTTGGCATCAAGTATTCAGATAATACTATAAGTACTAACATATTTAGTACCTAAGCTTTAAACAAGTGCTATTTTTCAAGTGTCTTGCATTCAATACTCATCCACTGCTTGAGTATTAAAACTTAGTACCTCAGCTACAGTCAGGTGTTATTTCTCAATTTTTGACCTTGCGAGTTGACCCATTTATAAGAACCTTATTTGTTTTTGCCTTGTAGATCAGAGCCAATGGAGGAAGACTACAAAGATGAGTCGTAGTCAATCACTGTCAGAAGGTGAAACACCGCCCTCTAGTGTTGGGCAGTAGCCAGTCGGCTTATCGTTGCTGATGTAAAGAGTTTCAGAGACCGTTCTGAAACAGTTTGAGTACCTCAAGGAAGCTGCAGTCACGCCTCAGTGGATGGTTGTCAAATGCCGTTTCATGCGTGGTTCAGTCCTGATGAAATCTGTACACGAAACAGCTTTGAAGAGTTTTCATCATCAGATGCCTGTTTGTGCAGATGATAAACTTTTCAGGTTAAAATCGTCATGACAAACCAATCCTACCTGGGGTAGAGAGAAACTCGTGTTATTTATGTTGTGGGGACCAATATTTTTGCAGTGTACCACGGGAAACTACACTTGTTTTAAAAAAAGTAAACGTATATTTTGAAATATGTCTTGTCATAAACACAAAGTGACCTCCGTGCTCGTTGAACGTATCGTAATGAGTTTTATCATTGTGTGATGCTGTTGGTACGATTGTACAAAAAAAACACCAAAATTATGAATCGTGTTTACGCTTGTGCTGTATCAAATAATGGTCGTTGAATAAAAAAAAAAGTATTACAAATATTTACATATAAACTTGTTTCTTCGGCTGTGTGTATAGATATATTCTGATATTTTTCGCTGTGTCCGCATGTAAGTGCTGCAACATAATCGTGCCCAATTTGTCATTTTTTCTTTTCTTTTTTCCCTCATCTTCAGAGGGAAAAAATGTTAAATGTGTTGTATGATAGGAAAGCAGTGATTTGCTTCTCGTGTATGTAATGTATAAATGGAGATGATTCAATGCTGAATTCTATTGCAGTCCAACTTGTTATGGTGGCCGCCAGAATTTGGAGGCCAGCGGCCAATTGTGGCCTGCATTTTGTAGTCCTAAATAAAGACTCAAATTTAGTGACCTTGCCTTTTTTGACAACTGGCCATTATCATTATCCACTTTGCATTTTTGGCCACCTTCAGAATTGCTGGCCAGCTTAAAAGTGTCGGCCAACTTATGGCCACCAGGCCAAATTTTGCCACAGTTACTGGCCACGTTGGCCGCTGGTTGCCAAAAGTGAAGCCATTAATATTCTGTCGCTTCAGAGCCGTTCTGAACGTCAGTGCACTGTTGGTCGCCGCCTGGCCACTTTTAGACAAAAATGCATTATTGGCCACTTTAATAGCCATTATTTGCTTACAGGCCAAAGTGGCCTTCAACTGGCCACTGTGGGCCACCAGACCTAAGTTGGACTTTAAAAATCCTACTGTACAGATATCTTAAATCTATTTTTTTCTCTTTCTCCATCTAAATGCTGTACAGTCCCCCGACGTACACTATTCCGGGGTGAACTGTCTTCTTTAAAACTATTTTTGTTTTCTTCGGATATTTTAACAAAAGATTTAAAAAAAACAAAAAGACTGTAAATAGTGTTGTACATATGTCTTATGAAGGCCGTACTTTTTGATGGAAAACTTTGTGCTGCTGACGAAAAAAAAAAGCTTAACTGAAAAGTACTAAAATTAAAGTTTAGAAGAAAGAAAAACCACGGCAGCAGATTCTATCCAGAAAGTGTGGCCAGATGCGGACACTCTCAAAAGAATTAAATAATTATTTGCATCTAATGACACTGAGCAAGCTGACTTTGATTTGGTTTGGAGCTCGTGTTTCTGCATGTGCATAGTTTTTCAGCTTTCGTGTGGATATACGAAAAAAGCTACTACATGTACCGATGTTCAAGTTTACTTAAAACAGAAAAGGAATACACCACCTCTAGATTTTTTTAAAAAATGCAACTGGCTAAGAAACATTGATTCATTATTTTTTGAAGTGAGATATTGGATCTGGAAGAAGTGTGTTCAAGCACTTTTTAGTAAAGGAATCATTCACTCGAAATAGAAAAAAGATTTGAATTGAAGAATTGTTTCTAATGTGTCAAACCCATGTTGCTTTGGAAATCTGAAAACGGTAAATTTTGGGAGTAAAACTCATCCAAAAAAAGGGAAAACAACTAAAGAGTCACACTTTTGCTCTTGAATGATTTGAACCAGACAACAATGCAAGCGTTGAATATACCATCCAGACAACTTTACTAACTTGGCAAAAGTCAGAATAAAAAACTGAAATTGATGCGTGTTGTAGGACTCAAGCATGCACAAACTACATGACTGGGTTTTTTTTTATTAAGTATAATAAAATTCAACAGTAAAACTTTTGACTTTGTGGCTTGAAAATGTGTGGTTAATAATTATAAGTGTTTTCTGAACCTTTTCAAACCTGGAAAAAAAAGAAGATTTTTATCGTAATTATTTTTGGAGAATTATTTGAAATGTTTGTGTTGCCGTCTTGAAATACACCTTTTTATTGTCCCTGTATGTTGTAAAGTTTTATCCCCTACGAATGTTATGTGTTTAATACGTTATGTTGTGAATTAGTGCATCATGTATGCAGGCATTGAAGGAAAAAACAGGGTCATGAAATAGTTGCAGGGAATTTTTTCCAAACTCTGACAAGCCTGTCAAGTTTTAATCATGAACGGAAAAATATCTTAATAATTTCCTCCTGTTTGAAAAGATATTTCCATTAGTTTCGAAAATGTTTCATTGGCTTCCATTCTATACTTTTGTTAAAACCTAGAAATGAATGTCAGACTTTACCCTTTTCGTTGAGGGAAAACGTTTGATTTTAACTTCAGTGGTTTTTACCCTAAATTTATTTTAAAAAACCCAGTTAGGTAAAAAATGAAGTCACAGTTTCTGTCCAACATCAATACTCTGATAAGCTGGTATGTTGCAAATTTTAAAATTAATTTGCCCCCCAAAATAGGTTTCTCCACCATTATGTGATGTCTTTGTTTCAAAGACCAGAAAGTCATCTTGAGTGATGCCTGATGTATTTTTTTTTTGGGGGGGGGGGTCCAGCCTTGAATATTTCCGGCTTAAAGGGAAAATACAACATTTGCAAACATCAAAAAATAAAACTACCAAATCATTTTGAAATACCTTGCTGGACTGTTAGTGAATGACAGTGTAAAGCATCCTGTAAAATCATGGCACCTGGTATACTGTCATTTTCAAGAAAAGTGGTATTTTTGTATCAATTTCCAACGCTGATCGGCCGATCAGCGTTGGAAAAAACTGGCTTTTTTCAAATACTGGCCCCAGTTGACCATCGCACTTGTTTGCAATCGATTACACACCTATGAACGGGTACAAGCCAGCTAGACTGGTTCCCTGACCTTACAATTCCCTAATGTATGTAAACTGCTCTGTTTCTTCTTAAATGGAGTCAGGGAACCAGACTACAGAAAAATGATTGTTTTTCTTGGTTTTTATAGCATTTTAGAACCCAAAACCTCAAAAAAGTCAGTGAAACTATATTTGCTATATATTTCCAACCCCCCAATTCCATCCATTTCTGAAAATTACAGCAAAAGCAAATGATGTATATTCCCTTTAACTAAAAGTGGAAGTTTTATAATGAGAATGGAAATCCTATAAAATGAATGCATTTGTTGCAGTATCACTTTGAATTTTTTTTCTCATCAAGTTGTTCATCTGAGTAACCTGTCTTCAGGATTCTCCGACAGCATTTCATGAACTTCCAACATCTTTAAAGGAAAAAAAAAACTGTCAACCAAAAATTGTAAGAAATAGATAATTGCTGTGATGTTTATGTACAAAATTTATTGTAGATAAAAAAAAAAGGTCTTCTATAATGTGAAACGAAAATTGCCTATAGAGTATGTTGAATATTATAAAACTGTATCGCTATATAAGCATTACTGTTTAAATTACTATTGGTTTGAATCCTAGATTTTAACTTTCTTCTTGTGATGTGCGTGTGTGCGTGTGCGCGTGTACATTGTTTTAAAAAAATGTTCCCCGGTCTTCGGACGGAATATGGATCTCGGAAACAGGCATGCCCGTTGTTTCACTCGTACTTGTTTTAAGAAATGTACAATGTCGTCAGCTATTTTGTATCCCACTTTCTGTGGCTGAAAAAATGTAAAAATTAAAAAACCACCAAAAAAATGGACAAAAGCATGAGATTGTGTCATATTGTGTTATCCATCTATTGTAGTCGATCCCGTTGTTGAGAATTTCAATATTTTTTTACCACTTAAAGGCTTTGTGGTTTCACTGGGTAAAGGTGCTGGACTCTAAATCGAAAGGTTCGGGTTCGAATCCAACCAGCCAGAGAGGCAACTTTGTGTGTTATCTTGCCTCTTTATATGACAAAGCCGAGAGTAAAATGAGTTCTCATGGCTTACAAAACCCACAATGAAATAAACTTTTTTTATTTAAATGGGGATTCTGGGCTGATTTATAAACATCAGACCTAGAAAAAAATGAAGAAACAAAAGCATTTTGTTCTATTTTCTTCTCAAGTTTTTATTAGGTAACATGTATCACATCCAATTGTTCACACTTATCCTGAAATAAAAGTACAAAACAGAGAAGTAAAAAATTCCCTCCTTAAAATTTTTTTTTTCACTATCATTTGCTCCATATTTTGTATTAATTAAGGGTAACTTAACATGGAACTGAAACACGCAAATACACAAAGGACGAGTTGCCAGCACCAGAAAAAAAATGATAAGGCCCAAAAAAAAAAAAAAATCTCGGTCTCTGGTCAGACCAAAGTTCCAGAATTGATGCAGCGATGCGACTTTTTTTTTCCAAGCTTGGATTGTACAGACAAGGTGGGGAACTATTTTTGCTTTTTTTGTGTTTTCATGTTCATTGGTGTCCTCCATAATTTGCCTTGGTGCCCTCGATCATTTGCCTTGGTGCAATTTCCCATTGCTTGGTGCTCCTTGGTACACAAATTTTAGGAGGTGCGACAATAGAGGGCGCTGTTGGATCTACCGCGGAAAATTTGGAAAAAAAGAAGAAGATTGACGCGCATGATTAAAATCGACGCATGCGCTGACCAGAGACCGACTATTTTTTTTTGGGGGGGGGGGGGCCTAAAACTCTGAGCAGTGTATACGGGCGCTGATTAGTGTCCAAATTCAGTCCTTGCGATATTGAATTTTAGTTTGACTCGACGCATCCATTCGAAATCCAAAATTTTATTTTGTCATTAAATTTTTGCCCCAAGCTGTAGCCAATTAGAACTGTCAAAATACAGAAACTGTAATGTCTTGTTTATGATTACGAGTTAGCCACACCCATAAAACAGTTGCCATGGTACTAACAATTGAGTGCAATGCAGAATAAGTTTAGTTGGTAAACAGTTCACGGTTGTGTATATGAAGTAATGCACGGGGCGTAAAAATTCACTGGTTCTCCTCACCCAAGACCAAACAGAGTATAAGCGAGTAAGCGATAGATAGTAATTATATTTAAGCCTGCGATAAGCTTCAAAATCTTGGAGGCAAAACACTTGTCAGTCAAAAAAAAAATCAAAAGTTCAGCTGAATACAGAGAAACAAATTTTGACCAGTCTACTATTTATCGATTCTGTTCATCAAGTCCAAACATGTCATTTCGTTGCCTGAAAGTCTAACGGTTTTCAAAGAAAAAGAGACAAACTGCACAAAAATCTGCTGTTTATATGCAACAATGAAAAAGAAAACGGTCCACAAACAACATTTCTGTATGTACACTTTAGTGTGGTAAATGATTGCTGTATGTACAGTTTAGTGGGTCACAAGGTCATTCAAATGGTCTAAGTTTGAGGTCAGATACTTAAGTGGGTCAAATGGTTTCCCATGAACGTTGACAGTCGTCCTCTGTCAAGCGGTTTGTAATCCTGTGCTGGTTGTGTCTTCCACGTTTGTTCGTGTCAGCAGAACTCCGCTCCGATTTATGCACGTGATTGTTTTTTTCGTTGTTGTCGCAGCGTGAAAGTGCTCCTGTTTACGTCAGAAAAGCCATCTGGTCGCATCTGTGTCGTCTTGTGGCAGATTGGGTTCGTTGGGTTTCGAGTCAGCGAGTCATGGCGTTTCAAAGTTCGGGAGGTGTTCCGCAAAATAACAGTGCATGGTTACGTCTTGCGTTGTCGTCGCTACAGCATCTCCAGTCAAAAGTAAAATCAGGCGTTGGTTTTTTTGCAATGTCTCTCTGCTTGGTCGGGTCACGCTTTGTCCAGTCGCTGGTGTTTCCTTTGAGTGCCTTCGACCGACTTCTGTTTTTCAGTTCATGTCAGCGTCTGCTTTGTTGACGTTGTCATGGTAACAAGTTCCTCCGTTTATGTCTTTATCCTCAATTTAGCTGACGTTTTCCCGACAGCCAGTCTCGTGTCATCCAGCGACTGCTTTTCTGTCTCCAGAATTTTGTTTTCTTTTTCCTTATCATCAGGTCATCGGGTCAAGTGTCAAATGTGACTGTCTTGCGGGGTCAATCACTTGCGAAGGTCAAAGGTGAGGGAGGTCGGTAGTTGGGGTCAGTGGGGTTTGCTTGTTTTTTTTGTTTTTTTTAGTCAGTCTCCTTGTCTGTGTGTGGAAAGGAATGAAAGTGGTCAGTACACAAAGTCAAAATGGAACAAGCTTTGGTGCAAGACAGGTATGTAATATTTTGGAATTAATATCCAAGTCCTTTTGCTGTAGGTATGGAACTAAGGAAAATCGTTGCTGATAAGGTTAGTTTTGTGTTCAAAGTGAACTTAACTGTTTTCATTTGTAAGTACAGTGAAAATGTTCCTGTCTTTGTATAGTTAGTGAAAGTTGTCAATTTGTCAGTTAACCAAACCAAAGTTTCAAATGTTTATGTCAAAAAAACAAACATTGGTTTCATCAAAACACTGGAAATTTAGTCAGCTGCTCTGGAAAAGTAAATATAGCATTTTCATAATTTTACAAAAATATATGCAATATCAAAATCAATCACTGGATAAAAATAGTAATTTTGGAAATTTACAATTTTCTGTTCAGTAAATTTTCGCTTAGAGTTACCGTTGGAAGACATTGATATACTTACCTCATCCACTGCGGTTTGGCCTTAGGTGGTGCGGGGTCGTTTGCGCGTGTCGTTGGTCTGGGGGTCGGCCACCATGACCTTAAAGCGTATCCCAGAAACCTCCTGGCCGTGGATCATCTCAATGGCCTTGAGGGCGCTGCTCTTATCTGCGAAACAACGAGACAACACACACAGAAGATATCTTTAGTAGGTAAAAATTTGCTGACTTACTGATTGGCAAATTTAAGTCTATAGACTGGCAGAGTTTTTACCTGCATATTTGGCGTAGCCAAAGTTCCGGTTGTTGAGCATGTAGCACTCGATCAGGTTGCCAAAGCGACAGAAGATGTCCGTCAAGACCGCAGGAGGCGGGGCCACAGGATTGCAGACAATGAACAGTCTCTCCATGCACTCACTGCATAGGACAAAACACGCATTATTCAACAGGTAATTTGAATATAAAATGAACGTCAAGACTGCAGGAGGCGGGGCCACAGGATTGCAGACAATGAACAGTCCCTCCATGCACTCACTGCACAGGAGGAAGCATGCATTATTCAACAGGTAATTTGAATATAAAATGAACGTCAAGACCGCAGGAGGCGGGGCCACAGGATTGCAGACAATGAACAGTCTCTCCATGCACTCACTGCACAGGAGGAAACATGCATTATTCAACAGGTAATTTGAATATAAAACGAACTATGAATTGAGCTAGGTTTGAAAATGATAGGAAAGTGTCGTTAATTTCTACAGATACACTAATTGTGGAGTTAGAGTTGCTGCGATTTGTAATTTGAATATTTGTCTTTTCTATCTTACGAGTCGATGTGGACCAGCGGTTGTTGGGCCGGAAGACGTAACATGGTAGGGTCCATGGCGTAACTCGGCAACTGTGCCTGCCCCTGCTGGACTTGCGCTCGTCTGAAAATCAGGTAAGACAAAATTGAAATCATTTATGCCAAATAAACAAACTAGTTCAAATGTTGGTATATGTTTTTGTAGCAAGATGAAAGAGTATAACGTACACAGTGTCCGTCGGTGAGCCTGGCTCCTCGACAAACTTCACCGACAGCGGGCAACTGGGCGGGTACTCAAAACGGTCCAACTTTTGCTTTGCGTAAACCGCTGAAACGGCCGTACTGTAACGCACGTAGGCAATACCTGTACATGAAACCAAACACGTAAATACCTCTTCACCTTGTCATAAAAACAATCAACAAAATTCTTCAAGGCTTGCAAATATTAATAACAAAAAATATGGAAATTAGATTTTTGTTTGTACCCTTGACTCCAAAATCGCTTCGCTCCTGTCTCAGGTCGCAGTATTCGAGTCCGGGTACCAGATCGAACAGCGCCCTCAGTTGACTTTCGGTGACGCTGCCGTTAACAACTACGTAGAGCTTGGGCGAGATTTGTGGATCTGTCACTAGTTGGGGGAAGCAGGAAAAAATTTTTTTTACGGAAATTGGAACTGCAGAACAAGATTAATTTTCATTTGCTAAGCGAGTGCCAGTCATCAGCACTACACAACAAACAACGTTTTGGCTGGTTTTCATGCTAAGCACAATTCTTGACTGTCAAGAGATATTAACAATGCAATAAAGAGTGACTGAATATCACCAAAAAAAATTTCCCTTGGACAAAATTCGCCCTAACACCCCTAAGCCCCACCCCCATCTCACCTGTGGCAGGGTGGTGGTAGGAGTTAGGCTCGTAGGTGTGGAACCCCCCACCCACGGGAGAGGCAAAGCTGGACCGTGGATCAAAGGCGGAGTCGGGCCGGAATCCTCCCCCGGTGAAAGCGGATTCGTGCATCTGACCCGGCATTGGTTCGTCGCGATTCCGATGGCCTTTAGGTTCTGCTAATATAGCCTTGAATCCTAAAAAAAAATTAAAAAAATTGAACATAAAATGTACTTCTATGAAATCAAATTAGATTTTTGAAGGTAAACTTGTTTCTCGTGATTTGTACAATGACTATAAATACATGCCTGGTGATTAAAAAATTATAAAATAAACAGTGAAATCTAGTAAACCTTGTCAGTCTGGCTTTGTCTTTTAAATAAAGATTTGTAATGAAAAGTCACATCGTCTCTGAGCGATCTCTGTTTGCTATTTTCCGGGTTTGCAGCATTGCTAATGTTGCTAGCATCGTAACTTTAGTGCGATCCTTTTATATATGGCCTAAACATGTACGGAGTTCATGGCTTCTGACAAAGAAAATAACAAAATGGGGAATAAGGCTCGATAGCTCAGGTTGGTTGAGCACCAGAACAGCAATCTGGTGGTCGCAGGTTCAAAACCTGCTCATGACAATTATAATGAAACCTTTTTAAAAATTCACATTGGACAAACCTCGATCAGAGCTCTCGATAGCGACAGCCGCACTGGAAACTTTGCGGAATTTTACGTAAGCGAATCCTTTGTTCTCCCCGGACCGCCTGTCCTTCAGTAAGTTAATATGGTCAATCTCACCATAAACTGTCGGAGAAGAAATGCCAGATACACATTAGTCTTTCTTTAACCCTAACCATCCCAAATCCTCCAAAATCCTTTTTGCAAATTGGAGAAATTGAGGTTACATGGCAAAAGTGCATTGCTGATTTCGGAGGACACACTGTGTCAAGGTCTTGGGCCAGACCTTGTATTGCTCAGCCTAGCATAAATTTAGTCCTTGATTATACTTAAAATCCTCCATACTGCTCCAGGATGTCACTGCCTCTGCCTCAACCTATTGACAGTCATAGCTGGAGGATTTGGAGGATTCAGGCAGTGGTCACCTCTCCGTGGACCATATTCAAGAAATAATGGAGGAATTTGCAGGATTGAGGCTATATGCTATTTTTCCATGAGGCCAGTTGGAGGATTTTGCAGGATTGAGGCTACATCCTAGCAATAAGGCCTAGGGAGTAATTAGGGTTAACAAATGATACTCACTCATGAATGAACTTGAGAGATATGTCCTAATGTGCAAAACTGATTCTTAACCTCTTTGTGTTTAACCGCCCATTTTCCAACATTATCAAGATTTAAGATTTTGATATTTCAGCATGTTTACATGTATTGCAAATATTGTTAGAATTAAAGGATAACTTCGTTTTGACATGGTCTTTGTGAAAGCATACCTTGGAATTTTTCTCGGACGTCATCGTCCGTGTAGATCTTAGGGACCATGATGAAGATACGCATAAGCTCCTTCTGTCCGTCGATGTCTTGCTTGCTTCCTGAACGTCGGGAGTTGGCAATCAAAACCTGGAGAACAATTCAAACAAAAGAAAGTTGCTGGGCAGAAAATTGAAGCACCTCAATTTGCTCAGTAGTGTTCTTTGTTTTAGTAGTTCCATGAATTGGGGCCTTCAATTATTCTCACTAAATTTAAAATATCTTCTGTGACTTCTTTTATTCTTTGCTATTCTTTCAACTTTGTATCCTATACTTTTTACCTTGAGTTTGGGAGAAACCTGCTGGAAAAAACTTTGCAATTAACAGTTTTAGGAACTTCAGTCTCATAACTGTCAGGTTTATACCTTGAGTGGTTTAGGGTCGGACCCGATGCATTTGTTGTCTGTTTCCTCCATGGCGATGGCCGCCTCGGAGGCCTTGGTGTACTTGATGTAAGCCACTCCTTTGCTCTCATTGGTGGATCTGTTCTTGACCAGCCATACGTCATCGATCGTGCCAAATCGCTCAAAGTGCTCCTTAAGCTCCGCCTCCGTGTGGTTCCTCCCACAGACGATGAAGAGTCTGAAAGTCAGAAATGAGAATAAATCACATCTTAAAATGCTTCAGTCAGGCTGGGGAACATTGATCAGATAGTTACATCACTGACTCTGTGATGACAAAATATGGATGGAAATTTAAATACATGTTGTAGGGAGTGAAGTTTAATATTTATAGTTTATCAAAATTTTCATTTTTTTTTTTACATCCAGACGCCACTTCTTTGGTTGTGTACAAAGTCCATGGAGAGTCGAGTGCATTTTCAAAGTTTTTTCTACCAAAAATTGGAAATGTTTCTCACTATCTCACTCTCAGTTCCAGATTCACATCTTTTCAACATTTTTGCAATGAGTTGAGTGACCTTCACCTTCATTGAGATAATGATGAAAAAAAGTGCCATCAGGAAGCAACGTTTCTTTAAACATGTTTAAGGGCTCATTTTAAATAGAAAAAGATCAAATAAAAAAACTCAACCTTTTAAAATTATATTTTTTTGTGAAAATTGTATTTTGCAATTGCATGTTTACATTTTGACATTTTTAAAACATGTTTAACTTCATTTAATAACTTTTTAATATTTGTACAAGAGTTTTCAATATGTTTGATATTTATAAATGTATTTATCGCATTTTAAAAAAAACCTTAAATAATTATTTTGTTGACCATCAAAATTACCTGCTGTTTGGCGGTTTGTCCATGTCGACTCGGCCGGATCCCGACCGCTCTCCGCGGTCCCGATCCCGCCCGGCGAACCCGAACCTTCCCCCGCGATCGCGATCATCGTCCCGATCGCCAGCCGGACCAGACTGATCGGACCATCCGCCACCGTAGTAAGACTCGCTTCTTGACGACATCCTCTCCAAACAGCAAAACTTCCAAGGAAAATCGTTATATTTTCCCCTTAAAAATCTACAAAATATTTTGTTCACTTCGAGTGCGATCTTTCGGCACAAAAACACAATGAAGATTACGCTGGGCTACTAATATCGCCCAAAGGATTCGCGAAAACATTGAGTTAGTAAAGATCAACAGCGCCCAATTCTCTTTATTTTGTAAGGTGAAGGATGCCCCCATTTCACGCCCAATAAGGCGCGTATTTATTTTGTCATGGAGCAACAACAGAGGGCGCACTTGATGAAGAAACAGGCGGAGAAAATTTCAACATGTCCAACAACATGTGTTCCGCAGAAAATGACAAGAGACCGCAGTTTGGGAACAGATTTCTGACGGACACTGACAAAGTCTTTCAACATAATGCGTGGTAAATTGAAAATCCTAGAACTAGGGTAGTAGGCCTACGTGATGTTTCCGTGCAGTGGCGTAGCCAGGAATTTTTCAGTGGGGGGGCGCTGGGGGGGGGGGGGGGGGGGGGCTGGAACATTTCATCATTCATGTGGGGCGTCATGTAGATCAATGATAATTTTTTTAGAAACTCAAAATCTCAGTGGGTGGGGGGGGGGCGACAAGGTTTCATGGGGGGCTGTCGCCCCCCCCCCCACGCTCCCCCGTGGCTACGCCACTGTTTCCGTGACCTTACTCGTGGAGTGCCCCAAATTCTCGCTGCCACTGCCCTAGCCCCATAAATGTGGCCTATTTACTGGACTGCCTCCGTAAACATAGGCCACACATCCACATGTACAAAAATCGTGTCGACGGAGCCAAATTTTGATTTTCACATTTAGGCTTAGTTTGTAGGTTTTTTTTGCTTTAGAAGCATACTCACCCTCTTTACAGGCTAATCAGAAAGTGCTGCCTTTTTCAGATGTCTAATTTTTGTGAAATTTCATGTTGAAATTTTGATACACAAACGTGTAAAAATGAATCTGGAAATTTCACGAAAAATATACATCTGAAAAAGGCAGCACTTTCTGATTAGCCTATAAAGAGGGTGAGTATGCTTCTAAAGCAAAAAAACCCTACAAACTAAGCCTAAATGTGAAAATCAAAATTTGGCTCCGTCGACACGATTTTTGTACATGTGGATGTGTGGCCTATGTTTACGGAGGCAGTCCAGTAAATAGGCCACATTTATGGGGCTACCACTGCCCAAGTACAATATTCGCGCAAATGAATAGATTTTTTTCATCGGATAACGTAATCCCGTCCTCACCTGTAAACAATCTATCACATTTTTACTTTTTGTCATTGGTTGTCATCGTTGTCATTGGCATTGGGAATGTCATTTGTCATGTCAAACAATGACAGTCATACAATGTCATATGACATCACTATACATGTATATTATCAGTTTAGGGGCCTACATGGTTACTTTAAAATGACGATGTCTGGATATTTTCTAAATAGTCATTATCATCATCTTGTCAGAAAATGTCTATGTCATCAATTGCCATGCATGGTTACCAACCTTTCAATCATAATTTACCAGATTACTCTCCTCATGCTTATGTATTGCTTTCCCACGTTTTGACAATTTTACAATTTTTTTGCCCCGCAGAAATGAACAAATCCGGCTGTCATGCAAACACTCATGAATTTGATCTCTAAATTTCGGCGGCTGCTGGTTTTTCACGACAGCACAGCTCACTATCTAAGAAAGCCACTGGTTCCCAGCTTCGCCTGCAGGCTCTCAGACAGCGCGCCAGTACACCACAAACTGTGGTAAGTCTGAGTACCAGTTGCAGTGGCTGGGAACCAGCTCAACAGTGGTCCCTAAAAATTATGAAAGGGTTTTAAAGGGAAAATACAACATTTGCAAACATCAAACAATAAAACTACCAAATCATTTTGAAATACCTTGCTGGACTGTTAGCAGGCGCGGATCCAGGATTTCTTTAGACGGGGGGCAAACTTTTAGAGCATTTTGCTCTGAATAATAATGCGAGCGCGGAGCGCGAAGCCCTTACGGCGTGGGGTCCGGGGCCCGCTTAAGGGCCCCGGGAAATTTTGGATTCTAGATGCTCTGTGGTGCAATCTGAGGCGACTTCTGGCCCCCTTCCCCCTGAATTATTTGAGCAAAAGTTGTTAAGCTTACAAGGATTCAAAAAAATATATACTCTTGTTTTTACAAAATTTAATGTTAAGCTACTGTGTACTTTAAATGTGCAAACCATGTATTTTCGTCTTCATAATTTCTTGCATTGTATTTAAAAAAAAAAAGGAATTGTATTGATTCAGATTGTAAACTGTTGCAACGGGCGATGGGCTGGGACCAAGGACTAATGCGAACGCGGTGCAGTGTCTTACGGCGTGAGGTTCGGGGCGTGGGCCCACTGAAGGGCCCCGGGAAATTTTTGATTCCAGAAATGCTCTGTGGTGCAATCTGAAGCGATTCCTGGCCCCATTTCAGCAACATGTTGTGAAGATTGGAGGATTTTTTTTTCATTATCGCTTCGGTTTGTGGTAACACCATGTGTTTTTTTGATTTTTTGTTCATTGGTTTAAAATTGTACTCTTGTATTTCTTAATACAAGCCTAGTTAAGTTTCTTCTGTTCTTCACTCGATAACCAGGTATTTTCGACTGCATAATAATTTTCTTGCATGTTATTCGGAAAAGGAATTGGATAGGCTTAGTTTGTAAACTGTTTTAAGGATGCGTAGGGAGATCTGTCCCGAGGACTAATAATGCGGATTGCACATGCGAATGTCTTTCGGCGTGGGGTCGGGGCCCGCTTAAGGGCCCCGGGAAATTTTTGATAATTGGATGCTCTGTGGTGCAATCTGAGGCGATTCCTGGCCCCTCTTTTCCTGAGTTATTTGAGCAAAATTTTTAAAGTTAAATAAGCATTTTTTTCATTGGTTTAATATACACTCTTGCTTTAACAAGCCTTTTAAGTTTATTCTGTTTTTCACTTGATAACCATTTTCGTCTGCATAATTGTTTTCGTGCATTTTATTTTTGGAACGGAATTGTATAGACTTAGTTTGTAAACTTTTGCATGCTTTCTAATGTTTTGTATCAAGTTTAAATTATCAGTTTATCAATAAGATAAGATTTTCTACGGAAATTTTCTACGGAAACTGACATGTTTTGGACTCCTTGAAAGCGCGTGGAAGAAATGCTGGCAAATTGTTCTTACGAAAACACACCCCTTTACTAATAGTGTGGTCCAAAGAGCAGCGTACAACGTGTATGTTGCGCTCAGACACGAGCGTGTTTTTCATACCGGTACATACGCTCATAATGAATCGCATTTCATAAACCGATATACTATGCAGGGTTACGTATGGAGTACGTACGGTGGGATCGCGGTTTATTTCGAAGCTTCTCGAGTTCCCAGTACTGTGTCATACGGCCAGTACACAATTTTTGCATGCCGCTGATGTTTAATATCGGCGCCGGTATTTTTGTTAGAAGGTTGCCCTCCTCCTTCCCTCCTTTTCTCTCTCCTCCACCTCTTTTTCCCCCTGTTTTATTCATTTTATTATTTTGTGGACTAAATTTGACGGGGGGCACGTGCCCCCGCGGCCCACCCCTGGATCCGCGCCTGGTTAGTGAATGACAGTGTAAAGCATCCTGTAAAATCATGGCACCTGGTATACTGTCATTTTCAAGAAAAGTGGTATTTTTGTATCAATTTCCAACGCTTGTCGGCCGACCAGCGTTGGAAAAAACTGGCTTTTTTCAAATACTGGCCCCAATTGACCATCGCACTTGTTTGCAATCGATTACACACCTATGAACGGGTACAAGCCAGCTAGACTGGTTCCCTGACCTTACGATTCCCCAATGTATGTACACTGCTCTGTTTCTTCTTATATGGAGTCAGGGAACCAGACTACAGGAAAATGATTGTTTTTCTTTGTTTTTATAGCATTTTCGAACCCAAAACCTCAAAAAAGTCAGTGTAACTATATTTGCTATATATTTCCAACCCCCCAATTCCATCCATTTCTGAAAATTATAGCAAAAGCAAATGATGTATATTCCCTTTAATTAAGGAACAGACTTGTGATAATCATTGAAATAAAAATATGCAAAGCAAAAAGGTTAACTTTAGCCAAAGCTAATACTAATACATGTAGTACTAAATTTCACTCAAATACATGTACTTTGTACTTGAATATTTTTACATCTCTGTTTCTTTTTGCTCTTTTGTTTTAAGGGATAATGTGGTTTGGAGCGAAGCCCAGATATGTGAAGCACAAAAGAAAGTGGAAGCCAATTCTTGCGAATACATGAAGCCAGATCTCAGAGGTAAATATTTTTAAAACTATTTCAAAATGTTCCAAAAAGATAAAAGAAAAGAAAAGAAAAGAAAAGAAAAAAAGTGTTTCTACCATAGTTGAAATTGCTGTGAAATATGCCAGTAGCAGTCTGTGTACTAATCGTCGACACAAATCAATCATCAAAGTTTATCAAAGTTAAAGACATTCTTATGGTCTTATTTAATTTTCAATCCACAGACAAATTAGAAGCCGAAGCTGATAGTCAGTGGGACGGCTTCTACTCCCAGCATCAGAACCGCTTTTTCAAAGATCGTCACTGGCTTTTCACGGAGTTCCCAGAACTCGCCACCACGTCACCCTCCTCTAGACCAATCCAACAGGACAGCTCCCCACCCACGGAAAAACAAAGCACCCCAGGAACCCAACCAGACTTGGAACGGTCTCCAAAAGAACCAAGTTCTGAGGACTTTCCGAAGTTGTCAGAAAGTGCAGAAGGAACAAATCGCTTGGAAAATGAGGGCAATGCATCTGCTAAAACCCAACTAAGTGAATTTGGCAACGTCACTGCCAAAGTTGATGATCGGTTGATTGAAGGTGTCGTTGAGGAAACTAAAGTTCCTCGTAGAGCCGACACAGATTCACCACAGAGAAATGAGGCTGCCACTAGAATTTCTGAGGAATGTGGCGCCAGAGAGTTTGCAGGAAATTTGAATTTAGTTGACGGTTCTTTGGAAGAGAGAACTAGCGGTAATTTGACAAATCCGCAAAAAGAATCGGATGGGGAAAAGTTTCCAGGTTGGAGTGCGAAGACCCGGATTCTGGAAGTTGGGTGCGGAGTCGGAAACACTATTTTTCCAATTCTTCAAACCAATATGTGAGTATCATTGTTTTTTTTGCATGTTTGAAACATGACCTATATTGACCACATCTGATTATTTTGAGTAAATTCTTTTTCCATTTTTCTTCAGTGACCCAGGTTTGTTTGTTTACGGCTGTGACTTCTCCAGTGTGGCAATAGACATTGTTAAGGTACATTTTAAAGACCAACATTTCTGTAACGCTTAAGTTCGCAAGAAATATCTTAAATTCTGACTCTACAAAAATTGTAGTACACAAATGTAGAACAGATCAAATGAATAATTTATAAAAATGTAAATATAAAAAAATAAAAAATTCTGTTGTTTCATTTTCCTAATGTGTATTTTTTCTTCAGCAACACCACGAGTACAGCCCTGAACGATGCCACGCCTTTGTCTGTGACATCACAGATGAGGGTGCAGCTTTGCCATTTCCAGAGGGCAGTTTGGACATAGTCATTCTCATATTTGTGCTGTCGGCAATCCACCCGGAAAAGTAAGAGCCACATGTCTGATCAAACATTGTTGATTTTTTGGTATTTAAAAATAAAAACATCCATAAGAATTTCCATCAAACTTTCTTTAACCCTAACTCCCCAGCCTAATTTACTAGGAACCATACCCATTCAGGCAAATTCCAACACCCACATGGGAAATTGTACACACACACTGTTGGACTTAGTTTCTGGAGGTATGCCAACCCCAGTGTAAAAGACCATGTGTTTAGGGGAACTGTACCTATCCCAACAGATTTAAACACTAACCTACTGTTGGAGTTTGATTGGTTATGGGCAGTTAGGGTTAATTAACCTAGTTCAAAGTATTGTGTTTATTAACATTTTGAGATGCCATTTTTGTCAATTTAAAAATATGAATTAATTTCACAATTTTTATTTCAGAATGCAGAAATCGTTGCATAGATTAGCCAGCTATCTCAAGCCAGGTGGGCTGATCTTGCTGAGGGATTACGGACGCTACGACATGGCACAGCTACGCTTTAAAAAAGGTTTGTAAGCAGTTGCCTGCCTGGTCCTCATAGACTTGGTTTAATAAAAAGAAAACAGTTATGCTGTAAACAGCTCCCTCAAACAAACAAAAACCGTAACATATTACATGACACCATAAATCATCGTTCATGATTTCATGACTTTTTTGTTTGTAATTTTTTTTTAGGGCGATGTTTGTCGGATCACTTCTATGCCAGAGGTGATGGAACCCTGGTTTATTTTTTCACGCAAGGTGAGGCAATTTGTCCTTTTTCTTAAAATAAAAGAGATTTATCTCTTTGAGTAAATGGATTTTGAAAAGGTTATTCTAACTCCCGTAGTTTATTAGCTGGTTTGTTTTCTAAGCATTTTGAAAATGTCAGCATTTTGAAGTTTTTCTTAAATCAGTTACCACAATAATTTCACAAGAGTCATAGCTAAGGATGTTTATGAAAAAAAACTTAGTGCTGAAAATTCTCATCTTAATAGTTCTTCAGAATTTTGAACTACAGTATTCTTAAAAACTCATGAACTTTTCAGTGTTCATTCAATCAATTTGCACAAAGTTTAATTTCTTCCGCTGACTATATTCTTCCTTCCAAAATCCAGACGAGTTACGGACTCTCTTCACCGGAGCCGGTCTAGTGGAGGAGCAGAACATCGTGGACCATCGTCTGCAGGTGAACCGGGGACGTCAGCTGACCATGTATCGGGTCTGGATGCAGTGCAAGTACAGAAAGCCAACGCAGGCCGATGGACAGACGGACCAAAGATGTGTAATGTCTGAATGAGTCGTCTCAAAAAAAATTGGTGATCATACACAAATATTCCAATTTCATGAGTTTCTTTGGAAAGTAGAAAACTGTTAAGCAGATTTTCTTGGCTGAGCAAAAGTTTACTGGGAGCCAGTCACTGGCAAAATATACATTGCATGGCATTTTGGCTGGTGACCTGTTTTAGATGAGCAAATATTTTTTGCACTTGGTAAATTTCTGTGCTTAGCAGCTGCACGAAATTTGGCTCTTATCCCTGAATGATTTAGGGCGCTGTTTCACTCACATTTTGGGGCCTCAGAGGTGAACACACTTTTGTGGAAGTAACTTTACACATTTGCACTTGTCCCCACAAAATAAAAGTTTACTATTAACCTGTAACTATATGATATTTTAGACTTGATTTTAAACTTACCTCGGTGGCATTTTAAAAATGTTTGGAATTTTTGTTTTTTAACAAGCTGATAAATTTGGGATATCAAATTTTTAACCCCTTGCCCCGAGTTTTCACGCCTCACTGCACATACTTGTAAGCATCACTGCATAGTAGCCTCCATTGCAGCTGCCTAGCTGGTGAGGAGGGGTTAACAGGTAGCATTTTTGCTTGCTTGGTTTAAGTAACAATCATTGTACAATTGAAATGTTATGGGAATTAAAAATATGCATGCAAGACAAAGAAAGAATTCAAAAGGGTCGTCTTTTATTTCAGTGTGAAATTTTAATAAATTATTATTAAAATCAATTTCAAACGGCTCAATTACATAATTTTTACAGTGTGATGCCACATTAAATGCAGTAGTTAGAATCATTATGTCATACATATATTTCGTTTTGTATTAAGTTGTTATAAGATGGAATTTTGCGTCGGGATGATATAAATCAAATTAGGCTTTGCCCTTCACCGACGTTTAAACACTATTTATATCACCCCGACGCAAATTCCATCTTATAATAGTTTATGCAGTATCTGCTGCTATGTACAAATGTTCATCAGATTCGAACCAGCCAACCGATTCCGTTAGCTTGGTGGTCGAGTGGTAAGACATCTAGACTAGAAAGCAGGAGGTCGTGGGTTCGAGTCCCACCTGAGTGATTTTTTTCCAACTTTCACTCGGGAGGTAACACACCGAGTATACGGTGCTTAAATGTCGGTGAAGGGCAAAACCTAATTTGATTTATTGAGTTCTTCACATGACATTGATGCAATTGTATAAGAATTATGGCTGAACAAGTACTTAAAACAAACTTGATGATTAAACCACTGGAAATATTTAGTGGCACCTGACAAGTAACTTTCATTATCATTTTAGAAGAAACTGGGCAAAAGGTTAAACACTAAAGCGGTTAAATGCTGGTTTTTATGGTTTACAAATATTTTGAAGGAATCCTTGATTTCATTTTCAAAAAATTAACAGGGAACTATCATTGGCAATCAGAAGTCAAGAAGTACAAGCCGTTTCAAAACACCATGATATGATTTACAAAGGTTAATAATAGGCCATAATTCTTGGTTAAAAACTCAAATCTTTGAAGCAGGCAACTAGTACATGTACACTGAAGATTTTGCAAACTGTAACATGGCAGAGTTTTGCAGAGAATTGATGCATTTTTAGGGAAACGGAGTGTACTCACTAGGGGGTGTGCAAAATTATATTGAAATTGGAGGATTCAGGACTGTTAGGGTTAGTGAAAATGCTTCATTGATAAACAGTAGTTTCTGAAAAGATGTAGCACAAGATGATATTCCGTTCACCATCATAGCTGAGCCCCACAAAATTGCCTGAATTTTGAACATGTACTTCAAATTTACAAAATGTATGTTTCAGTGGTTTGAAATTTCCCAAAGTGAATTGATGTCTTTTTTTGACATTTTTCAGGAATTACAAAAAAATTCACATCGTAGCTGTCTGAAAACTTTATGGATCAATATACTACAAGAAGACATAAGTATTCTGAATGTGCACATGGCCATAGTGTCTTACTGTTAAGGGGTACTTGTACACGGAGCCAATAAGGAGTTCAAGAGATTAGCCGACACGGGGTGCTTTCGGATGCGTTGGTGGGCACCAGTAAACAACTTGTCTTCAATACTTAATTGATGTAGCTGATGATTGCTTTATTGACATCCATATTTGCCTTCATGAGGCACTCCCTAGCTTCCACAATGTCCTCGCATGCCGTCACGTCCATGAACTGCACGAGCAGCACGTCAAGCACCTCCTGGACTCCGTCGTCTTCTTCAACCTCCTGGTAACCGAGCGATTGCAAGTTGTCCGTTACTCCCGGTGATCTTCCCTGTTCTTTATATCTCTGCTGTTCTAGCTCCTCTGCCCTCCGGTCGGCATGAACCTTCTCCCTCACCTTAGAGAGCAGTTTCTGCTGCTCTGCATACTCTCCCGGAGTCCACGCGGCTGCCAGGTCTTCCCGCACCCAGCGTGGAGTCTTGCGCTCAGAGGAACTCTGAGTTCGTTTCATCTGGCCCTGCTGCTCCATCTCTTTCTCTTTCTTCCGCGACTCCTGGACCCGCTCCCGCACCTCCAGGATCAAGGGGAGGAACTCGGGCGCGATGCTTTCCTTCTTGTGTCTCCGGGATTCCCCCAGTTGGTTCACAGTGATACCCGGGTCACTGGCTGACTTAGGAAGCTGTGCTGGCCTCTGCGGGACAACCTTGCCTCCCTTATTTGCTACATTAGTTGGATCACTCCCTCTTACTGTTAATTCTTCCGAGCGTTCCTCCTGCAATTGGTTCACGATGACACCATGAGGTTCTTCTCTAGGTCTCTCCTTCCTTCCAGCATGTCCCCGCTCCTTCTGTCTCTCCATCTCCTCTTTTTCTCGCTTCTGCTTTTGGATTGCCTCCAAGATCTCCTTCTGATGCAGCTGCTCGTAGACATCTCCTTCTTCCTCCAACTCCGGATGATTGTCCTCCAACTCTGGATGTTTGTCCTTGCTTCCCACCCCAAGTCTCTCCGACCCCTCTGCTGTCAGTTCCATGCTCATTTCCTCATCTTCCACCATCTCAACTTCTTCCCCCTCAACATTTCCTTTTGGCGGTCCCAGTGCCCCAGCTTCAAGTTCCGCACTGATTTCCTCATCCGCTCCTCCGTATAAATCTTCCTCAAGATTTTCTCTCCTCCCATTAGCATCTCTCACAGGCCGTCTCAGAGCTCCTGCCTCAAGCTCCGCGCTCACTTCCTCCTGATCCAAGCCGCCGTACAAATCCTCATCTCTTCTGTCCTTGTGATTGGTCGATGCAACGACCGTCGGTGCAGTCAGAGAATCTTGGCTGGAAGACGTGACTGGCAAGAAGCAGGAGATGACGTACTCTGGCATGACACGCTCACTCTTGTAGAGAATGAATTCATCATACTGCTTGACATGACCCTGACAAACAGAATAATATTACTTATTATGACATTGTGCCATACAAATCATCACAGAATAGGAAGTCCTCCTTTTTTAATTGTGGCCCCTAAAGCTTTATGTGGAATCATCTAGGATTGTGAATGATAAGCCCAGTCGCTATTACAGTTCTGATAGGGTTAATAGCTCCAAAGAAATGTTGAGAATCACCTTGACAGAATCGTAGTATTTTGGGCCCCCTGGCTCTTGGTTTTCCACTTCCGGTTCTCTCTTGAGGGTCTTGGCATGCTGTCCAGGAGGGTAGACCTAACAAACAGAGAAAAAAGTCCAGCAAAGAGGTCACCAATGGCCAAAATGTTTGTTTCTCACCTCCTGGCATACTGTGTACAAACCAATGGGGGTCTTGACTAATATTGACCCAAGTAGTAACCAGGCTGACAATGCATGTTTCCATAGGAGGGTAAAGGGGCATCAAAACACCCAACAATCTAACAAAGCAAAGAGAAAAAAAAATCAATCCTCAAGCTTGAATGCCCCAACTGACAAACCTTCATATTTCCCAGCAATGCTCGGCATTTGTAGATGGTGCAGGTTGTCTGTAGAGAGGTCTGGGGATTCGCCTTGTCGCTCTGCGTGTAAGACACGCACTTCCGCGGATCATTGCTGAAAAGAAAAGAAGAACCAAACTGAGTTAGGTCCGTCAGTGGGTGTGTGGCTGTCAGTCTGTCTGTCTCTTTGTCTGTCGCTGTCTTGACAATCTCTCCAAGGAAAATCTACTCACCTGAAGTAGATGCCTCGTCCAAAGTACCCAATCCTGCTCAGACGTTGGTCCAACCCCTCGTGGCAGATCTGCTCCTTGTCAGCTGTTGTCCCATGAAACAAGTACACTTCGTTCACCTCTGTTTACAAAGATTTGGTAATATTTCAACATGAACATTTCATCTTTGCAAACTGTTCTAGTCGATTTCTTAAAGAAGATGTTTGAAATTTTGTCTTAGGAGATGCCTTCATTCATACTTTGGAGTCTGTTCCCTTCTTTTGCATTAATGAAGAGTCTCCATTTTATTAAAAGTTTTGAGTAATGAATAAATGAGGTATGCAAGTTATGGGCATTGTGCTGTGTGGGCTCCAGAAATATCACGGGCCGGCTTTTCCCCCTTCCAAAATCGATCTTTTCTTAGTTTGCTCCCAAATGCACTTCTCTGCTCTTCCTCCATCTTGTCTCCATCTCTCCCCCCCACCTTCTTCCCCTAAGCCACGCCCACCTGTTGTATTCTTCTGCATCCTATTCCTCTCGAACTCAAACTTCTCCCACAGGTCCTTGTTCTCTACGCGCTCGATCTTCTTCACTGTCAAGTCCGCCGCGGTGAATTCAGCCAAGATACTCTGGAACTCCCAGCTCTGCTTGTTGAGCATGACCAGACAGAACGGCACGGCCCCGGACAGGGTGCAGTCACTCCAGCTGCTTGGTAACTGGTTCCCCGCCTTGGGGAACGGCTGCAGCCCCGGCATAGATATCTCCAATGGGGAGACCACTGACGATGTATCGGAGAATGTCATTGACTTGTTTGTCGCTCTCTGTTGGTCGGACGAGGCGCTGCCTGCCATGGCACCATTTGGTTCGGGATTTGCCACATTGCCAGTCTCTGCCAAAATCAGTGAACAAATAAATCAGTTTAAGTAACACAAAAAAATGTGCTAAGCAATGCTTGTTTAAAACTTTGTTGATTATTATGCTTAAATTTTACCTTCGTTTGTTGACAAGTTATCAGAACTTTGGAGTTGTTGTAACAGTCGAGCTTGTTCACTCTTCAACTGATCCAAACTGGCTCCACTCTGGTTTGGACCGGTCTGATCTGGATCCATCGACCCATCCGTCTGAAGATCATCGGCAGGTCTCTGATAGGAAGCCATCATTTAAATTGAAGCAGAATCTCCTTTAGCTACATGTGATCTACAGCCAAATTATAAAAAGAGAAAGGAAATTTCGATTACTCTTCAAAAATAATGTTTGGGAATGTGCATGATATAGCAAATTGCAATTGAACTTAAATACAATCCGTACAAAAGTTCTAAACCTAAATTTCTTCTGTTTCATTTTCCTTTTATTAGATTTGCTACAATTGAATACAGTATTACATGTATTTAACTTGATACCAATGACACACATGTACATAAATAGACCTTTTGTTCATTTCTGGATTTACAATAGTAAGAAAATCCCACTTACGTACATGGCTACCATGCAGAAGTTCTATTTTCCCACCACCACTACCATTAAATAAATTTCTGTATGAAATAAAAATACTGTATGAAAACACCGACAAACTGCAGCATTTTATATCCATTACCCAGCACAGATTTATTTTAGTCACAATTACAGTATTCATTATGACGTTTTCAACCTTTCCCGTAATTTTTGTCTGGTATTATAACTTATCTTTTGGGGATCAAATTCCATACCAGCATCTTCACATCCTTTGATATGAACGCTGTATTTTCTCAGGTTTCGTCACACTTCATGTGACTTTGACCAGGCTATTAAGTAATAAATCTAAAGGCTATCATCTTTCCCTTTTAAAGGGCGGAGCCTATGTTACTCCCTCCAAAAGGGCCAGAAAGTTAATTGTATTTACAGCACAATATAACAAACATAATAAAGTACAAAAATATATATGAAAAAAAAAATATAATTATAAAGTGAAAGGAACACAAATTTGGTCATGTTGGTTTCAAAAATTAATAAACTTCATCTTGTTAAGAGGTGCTGGGAACTGGAGGACATTGGTCTAACAATCTGACAATGAAAGAAACACCATTCCCATGAAGTTAAATGAAAAAATCGTTGTCAACATTACCTTCTTACAAAAATGTTAAAGAGTAGACAAGTCGTTTGCAAAACAAAGTTTATTCATACATGAATACCACTTGAAATTAAACTGGAACTCAAGAGGTCATGCAAAATCATTTAAACTATGAAAACATCAACTTGTATGGCATGAGAAAAACAGGAGGAGGGGTCATCGCAACAAAGGGCATGAAGGGGATTCCCCAAAATCCAAATACGAAAGAAAATTCGAAAAGACAATTTGCATGATTTGAAATTACAAGTGAAATACTTTCTAAATTCTATGTTGAACGGTACCTACTCTTCACCTAAATCACAAGAATATTAGTTTTCGTGAAATTCATTTCTGCCTGTTCTTTCAGCAATAAAATCCACGGCAACGCGAAGCTCTTTTATTTTAAGCAGAAAAACAGATCGCCCTAGCTCTCTCGGCAGCGCAGCGCAGCGAGTCGGCAGCTCGATTCCCGATTTCCGTAATATCTTGGGTCAAGTAGACGGGTGCTCTTTGACCTCCTTTCAGTCGTACCTTTGGTGATAGAGGGAGAGCAGGGCCCAGACGTCATTGGTATGGATATGTGAGAAAAAAAACCTGAGTGAACCTGGCCGCGTATTCGGCCAGATACCACAGCCGCGTATTCAGCCGTGTATTCAGCCGCGTATTCATCAACTACGGAGGCCAATAAAAAACATTATTGATGTGATAAATATTTATATATTTAATGCGGATTTCATCGAGGAGTGTACCGAAAATGAAGGACGTCAGTTTTATGTTTGATAATCAGTTATTTAGGTCTCGTGGCTTCCTATCAATTATTTTGGTTTCAGATCTAGGGCAACTATGAATCACGTGATACTCGTCCTGATGAAAATCGTACCAAAATAGCATTTTGCGGTTGTACAACATTAAACTTAAGTTAAACTTCGAGACAAAGTGTACCAAACAGTGAAGAAGAAAAAGTCAAATCGCCGATGTCATGTTATAAAGTGGTGTCCCGCCTACACTCTATTTTGGTTTCAGGTGTATGGGGTGTATTTTGTCACGTGACAATGGCATAACATAATGCGTTTTCACCGCCAAATTTACTTTAATTATTTATATATTTAATGCGGATTTCAGGAAAAAGTGTACCGAAAATGCAACATGTCCGAATTATGTTTGATGGTCAGTTATTGAGGACTAGAGGCTTCCTATAAATTATTTTGGTTTCAGATCTAGGGCAGCTATGAATCACGTGATACTCGTCCTGAGAAAAGCCGTACTAAAATAGCATTTTGCGGTTGTACACATTAAACCTATTTAAACTTCGAGACAAAGTGTACCAAACAGTGAAGAAGAAAAAGTCAAATCGCCGATGTCATCTATAAAGTGGTGTCCCGCCTACACTCTATTTTGGTTTCAGGTGTATGGGATGTGTCTGTCACGTGACAGTGGCATAACATAGTGGGCTTTCACCGCCAAATTTACTTTTTTTTATATATTTAATGCGGATTTCAGGAAAAAGTGTACCGAAAATGCAACATGTCCGAATTATGTTTGATGGTCAGTTATTGAGGACTAGAGGCTTCCTATAAATTATTTTGATTTCAGATCTAGGGCAGCTATGAATCACGTGATACTCGTCCTGAGGAAAATCGTACTTTAATAGCATTTTGCGGTTGTACAACAACATTAAACTTTAAGTTAAAGTTCGAGACAAAGTGTACCAAACAGTGAAGAAGAAAAAGTCAAATCGCCGATGTCATCTTATAGAGTGGTGTCCCGCCTACACTCTACTTTGGTTTCAGGTGTATGGGGTGTATTTTGTCACGTGACAATGGCATAACATAATGCGTTTTCACCGCCAAATTTACTTTATTTATATATTTAATGCGGATTTCAGGAAAAAGTGTACCGAAAATGCAACATGTTCAAATTATGTTTGATGGTCAGTTGTTGAGGACTAGAGGCTTCCTGTAAATTATTTTGGTTTCAGATCTAGGGCAGCTATGAATCACGTGATACTCGTCCTGAGGAAAATCGTACCAAAATAGCATTTTGCGGTTGTACAACATTAAACTTAAGTTAAACTTCGAGACAAAGTGTACCAAACAGTGAAGAAGAAAAAGTCAAATCGCCGATGTCATCTTAAAGAGTGGTGTCCCGCCTACACTTTATTTTGGTTTCAGGTGTATGGGGTGTGTCTGTCACGTGACAGTGGCATAACATAATTGGCTTTCACCGCCAAATTTACTTTTTTTTATATATATATATTTAATGCGGATTTCAGGAAAAAGTGTACCGAAAATGCAACATGTCCGAATTATGTTTGATGGTCAGTTATTGAGGACTAGAGGCTTCCTATAAATTATTTTGGTTTCAGATCTAGGGCAGCTATGAATCACGTGATACTCGTCCTGAGGAAAATCGTACTTTAATAGCATTTTGCGGTTGTACAACATTAAACCTAAGTTAAACTTCGAGACAAAGTGTACCAAACAGTGAAGAAGAAAAAGTCAAATCGCCGATGTCATCTTTAAGAGTGGTGTCCCGCCTACACTTTATTTTGGTTTCAGGTGTATGGGGTGTGTCTGTCACGTGACAGTGGCATAACATAATTGGCTTTCACCGCCAAATTTACTTTTTTTTATATATATTTAATGCGGATTTCAGGAAAAAGTGTACCGAAAATGCAACATGTCCAAATTATGTTTGATTGTCAGTTATTGAGGACTAGAGGCTTCCTGTAAATTATTTTGGTTTCAGATCTAGGGCAGATATGAATCACGTGATACTCGTCCTGAGAAAAGTCGTACTAAAATAGCATTTTGCGGTTGTACAACATTAAACTTTAATAATTTAAACTTCGAGACAAAGTGTACCAAACAGTGGAGGAGAAAAAGTCAAATCGCCGATGACATCTATATAGAGTGGTGTCCCGCCTACACTCTATTTTGGTTTCAGGTGTATGGGGTGTATTTTGTCACGTGACAATGGCATAACATAATGCGTTTTCACCGCCAAATTTACTTTAATTATTTATATATTTAATGCGGATTTCAGGAAAAAGTGTACCGAAAATGCAACATGTTCAAGTTATGTTTGATGGTCAGTTATTGATGAGGACTAGAGGCTTCCTGTAAATTATTTTGGTTTCAGATCTAGGGCAGCTATGAATCACGTGATACTCGTCCTTGGTTAATTCGTACTAAAAATAGCATTTTGCTGTTTTTCAACATTAAACTTAATTTAAACTTCGAGACAAAGTGTACCAAACAGTGGAGGAGAAAAAGTCGAATCGCCGATGTCATCTTAAAGAGTGGTGTCCCGCCTACACTCTATTTTGGTTTCAGGTGTATGGGGTGTATCTGTCACGTGACAATGGCATAACATAATGGGCTTTCACCGCCAAATTTACTGTGTTTTATTATAATTATTTAATGTGGATTTCAGGAAAAAGTGTACCGAAAATGCAACATGTCCGAATTATGTTCGATGGTCAGTTATTGAGGACTAGAGGCTTCCTATAAATTATTGTGGTTTCAGATCTAGGGCAGCTATGAATCACGTGATACTCGTCCTGAGAAAAGTCGTACTAAAATAGCATTTTGCGGTTGTACAACATTAAACTTAATTTAAACTTCGAGAGAAAGTGTACCAAACAGTGGAGGAGAAAAAGTCGAATCGCCGATGTCATCTTAAAGAGTGGTGTCCCGCCTACACTCTATTTTGGTTCCAGGTGTGTGGGGTGTATCTGTCACGTGACAATGTCATAACAAAATGGGCTTTCACCGCCAAATTTACATTTATTTTATATATTTAATGCGGATTTCAGGAAAAAGTGTACCGAACATGCAACATGTCCGAATTATGTTTGATGTTTAGTTATTGAGGACTAGAGGCGTCCTATTAATGTTATACATGCTGCAAAAGGTGATCTGTTTTCCAGATAGATAATTTATTTTATTCAACGAATTTTTCAAAATAAACGACAAATATCAATATTTTTCTATGCTGTATCAGAGTTCACAATATAAGCAACCATGTCGTCAACGCGTTTTGAAAATTTGATGCAATAATTACTTAGAAATTAACTGCCTAATGCGAATCATTACATTTAACGTAATTTTCGAACGCGTTTAGAGATGTTGAAAAATAAATGCATCATTTAAAACAAAGTGTACCTCACATGTTGTCAAAAACTCATAATTTTATTGAATAATCTACGAGGTCATGTCACTGGGCACGCTTTATTTTGGTATTGGCTTCAGCCGAGCACTAATTAGTGCCTAATTAGCCTCTTAAAGTGACCCCATTTTCCAGGCACTATGAGAATGCATTCTTTTCAACTGCGTATATCACTGCTCCTTTAAAACAAAGTGTACTTCACATGTCAAAAACTCATAATTGTATTGCTTAACCTACGAGATCATGTGACCGGGCACACTTTATTTTGGTACTGGCTTCAAATTAGTACTAATTAGTGACTAATCGGCCCGGCCCCTTAAAGTGACCCAATTTTCCCGGCACTATCAGAATGCATTCTTTTCAACTGCGTATATCACTACTTCTTTAAAACAAAGTGTACCTCATATGTTGCCAAAAACTTGCAGTTTTATTTCATAATCTACGAGATCATTATCACTGGACACACTTAATTTTGGTATTGACTTCATCCAAGGACTAATTGGTGCCTAATTAGCCCCTTAAATTGACCCAATTTTCAAGGCACTATCAGCATGCATTCTTTTCAACTGCATACATCACTGTCCTTTAAAACAAAGTGTACCTCACATGTTGTCAAAAACTCATAATTTTATTGCATAATCTACGAGATCATGTGACCGGGCACACTTAATTTTGGTATTGGCTTCATCCAAGTACTAATTAGAGACTAATCGGCCCCTTAAAGTGACACTAATTAGTACTTGGATGAAGCCAATACCAAAATTAAGTGTGCCCAGTCAAATGATCTCGTAGATTATGCAATAACATTATGAGTGTTTGACAACATGTGAGGTACACTTTGTTTTAAAGGAGCAGTGAAATACGCAGCAGAAACGAACGCATTACAATAGTGCAGTAAAATAGCGTCGCTTTAAACGGGCTACTTAGGCACTAATTAGGTTTTGGCTCAATCCAATACCAAAATGAAGTGTGCCCGGTCACACGATCTCGTAGATTAAGCAATAAAATTATGAGTTTTTGACAATTTGTGAGGTACACTTTGTTTTAAAGGAGCAGTGATATACGCAGTTGAAAAGAATGCATTCTCATAGTGCCTGGAAAATGGGGTCACTTTTATAAGAGGCTAATTAGGCACTAATTAGTGCTCGGCTGAAGCCAATACCAAAATAAAGCGTGCCCAGTCACATGATCTCGTAGATTATGCAATAAAATTATGAGTTTTTGACAACATGTGATGTACACTTTGTTTAAAATGATGCATTTACTTTTCAACATCTCTAAAAGCGTTCGAAAATTACGTTAAATGTGATGATTCCCATTAAGCAGTTAATTTATATAATTATTGCATCAAATTTTCAAAACTCGTTGACGACATGGTTGTCCATATTGTGAACTCTGATACAGCGTAGAAAAATATTGATATTTGTCGTTTATTTTGAAAAATTCGTTGAATAAAATAAATTATCTATCTGGAAAACAGATCACCTTTTGCAGCATGTATTATAGATTTTTTTACTTTTTGGTGAATGCGCGGCTGAATACGCGGTTGAATACGCGGCTAATCCGCGGTTACCTTGAGCCAGGTACTATTTGGTACACTTTGTCTCAAAGTTGGGCATAATGTTTTTTAACCGCAAACTGATATTTTTTTGTACGAATTTTCCCAGGACGAGTATCACGTGACTCATAGCTGCCCTAGATCTGAAACCAAATAATTTATAGGAAGCCTCTAGTCCTCAATAACTGACCATCAAACATAATTCGGACATGTTGCATTTTCGGTACACTTTTTCCTGAAATCCGCATTAAATATAATTATATTAGATAAATTTAAGTAAATTTGGCGGTGAAGGCACATTTTGTTATGCCATTGTCACGTGACAGATACACCCCATACACCTGAAACCAAAATAGAGTGTAGGCGGGCCACCACTCTTTAAGATGTCATCGGCGATTTGACTTTTTCTTATACACTGTTTGGTACACTTTGTCTCAAAGTTTAACTTAAAAGTTAAATGTACAACGTTACCGCAAAATGCTATTTAGTACGATTTTTCTCAGGACGAGTATCACGTAATTCATAGCTGCCCTATATCTGAAACCAAAATAATTTATAGGAAGCATCTAGTCCTCAATAACTGACCTTCAAACAAAATCCGGACATGTTGCATTTTCGGTACACTTTTTCCTGAAATCCGCATTAAATATATAAAATAATTAAAGTAAATTTGGCGGTGAAAGCCCATTTTGTTATGCCTTTGTCACGTGACAGATACACCCCACACACCTGAAACCAAAATAGAGTGTAGGCGGGCCACCACTCCATATTAAAGATGTCATCGACGATTTGACTTTTTCTCCTACACTGTTTGGTACTCTTTGTCTCGAAGTTTAACTTTAAGTTTAAGGTTGTACAACCGCAAAATGCTATTTTGGTACGATTTTTCTCAGAACGAGTATCACGTGATTCAAACTGCCCTAGATCTGAAACCAAAATAGTTCAAAGGAAGCCTCTAGTCCTCAATAACTGACCATCAAACATAATTCGGACATGTTGCATTTTCGGTACACTTTTTCCTGAAATCCGCACTAAATATAGTAAATTTGGCGGTGAAAGCACATTTTGTTATGCCATTGTCACGTGACAGATACACCCCATACACCTGAAACCAAAATAGAGTGTAGGCGGGCCACCACTCTTTAAGATGTCATCGGCGATTTGACTTTTTCTTCTACACTGTTTGGTACACTTTGTCTCGAAGTTTAACTTAAAAGTTAAATGTACAACGTTACCGCAAAATGCTATTTAGTACGATTTTTCTCAGGACGAGTATCACGTGATTCATAGCTGCCCTATATCTGAAACCAAAATAATTTATTGGAAGCCTCTAGTCCTCAATACCTGACCTTCAAACATAATCCGGACATGTTGCATTTTCGGTACACTTTTTCCTGAAATCCGCATTAAATATATAAAATAATTAAAGTAAATTTGGCGTTGAAAGCCCATTTTGTTATGCCTTTGTCACGTGACAGATACACCCCACACACCTGAAACCAAAATAGAGTGTAGGCGGGCCACCACTCCATAAGATGTCATCGACGATTTGACTTTTTCTCCTACACTGTTTGGTACACTTTGTCTCGAAGTTTAACTTTAAGTTTAATGTTGTACAACCGCAAAATGCTATTAAAGTACGATTTTCCTCAGGGCGAGTATCACGTGATTCATAGCTGCCCTAGATCTGAAACCAAAATAATTTATAGGAAGCCTCTAGTCCTCAATAACTGACCATCAAACATGATTCGGACATGTTGCATTTTCGGTACACTTTTTCCTGAAATCCGCATTAAATATAAAAAAGAAGAAGTAAATTTGGCGGTGAAAACGCATTATGTTATGCCACTGTCACGTGACAAAATACACCCCATACACCTGAAACCAAAATAGAGTGTAGGCGGGACACCACTCTATAAGATGTCATCGGCGATTTGACTTTTTCTCCTCCACTGTTTGGTACACTTTGTCTCGAAGTTTAACTTTATAGGTTTAATGTTGTACAACCGCAAAATGCTATTAAGGTACGATTTTCCTCAGGACGAGTATCACGTGATTCATAGCTGCCCTAGATCTGAAACCAAAATAATTTATAGGAAGCCTCTAGTCCTCAATAACTGACCATCAAACATAATTCGGACATGTTGCATTTTCGGTACACTTTTTCCTGAAATCCGCATTAAATATATATAAAAAAAGTAAATTTGGCGGTGAAAGCCAATTATGTTATGCCACTGTCACGTGACAGACACACCCCATACACCTGAAACCAAAATAAAGTGTAGGCGGGACACCACTCTTTAAGATGACATCGGCGATTTGACTTTTTCTTCTACACTGTTTGGTACACTTTGTCTCGAAGTTTAACTTAAATGTACAACGTTACCGCAAAATGCTATTTAGTACGATTTTTCTCAGGACGAGTATCACGTGATTCATAGCTGCCCTATATCTGAAACCAAAATAATTTATAGGAAGCATCTAGTCCTCAATAACTGACCATCAAACATAATCCGGACATGTTGCATTTTCGGTACACTTTTTCCTGAAATCCGCATTAAATATAAAAATAACAAAAGTAAATTGGCGGTGAAAGCAGATTTTGTTATGCCATTGTCACGTGACAGATACAACCCATACACCTGAAACCAAAATAGAGTGTAGGCAGGACACCACTTTATAAGATGACATCGGCAATTTGACTTTTTCTTCTACACTGTTTGGTACACTTTGTCTCGAAGTTTAAGTTTAATGTTGTTCAACCGCAAAATGCTATTTTAGTACGACTTTTCTCAGGACGAGTATCACGTGATTCATAGTTGCCCTAGATCTGAAACCAAAATAATTTATAGGAAGCCACGAGACCTAAATAACTGACCATCAAACATAATACTGACATCCTTCATTTTCGGTACACTCCTCGATGAAATCCGCATTAAATATATAAAAAATTATCACATCAATAATGTTGTTTATTGGCCTCCGTACTTTATGAATACGCGGCTGAATACACGGCTGAATACGCGGCTGTGGTATCTGGCCGAATACGCGGCCAGGTTCACTCTGGTAGAAAAAACGCCACCAACACAAAACGTGTAGGCCTATGACGTGTCGCGTCCTGGCTAAACAAGTTAAACTTTCCATACGGGTGCTAACTTCTCTCAGTTTTCTGCTCTCTTTTGTGTAATAGTATTGAAAGTGTGAAACCTGTAAGTTTTTAGAGTTGAAAATCTGGACATCGTTGTGGTCATTTTGAGGCAAGTAAAAAAAAGTACCGATTTGCACATCTTCTGAGTCTGTACATTCATGATTTAGGACCTAGGCCTACATGTACGTCAAGACTCGATCGATCATGTCGATACTCACCACAAGAGGGCGCTCTTTTATGTCATTTTGTTTTTTTTGTGTGTGTTTTGTGGAGTAAAGGAAACAATCTCTATTCCATGATTTTGATACTGCATCTGAGTGATGTAAACTTGTATTTGTAATTGTGTTTAAATTTGCCCTTTGTATTTTTTTTCATTTGTCTATTCTAACATTAACATTTATTTGGGCCGAACTGCCGACATGGTTATGGCCGAAAGTCTGTGCCGTAATGCAATGATTATAACGACAGGGAGTGAATTTATTTTTCCTTTTTAAAAACTGTTCTAAATAGGATGTTCTCATCGACCAGCAAGCCAAGTTAGCTGACCTCAGCATCTACTCCAAAGTGCCCACTAAGCCAGGTCTTGCCACGCCCCTTCTTACGCACCCATCCTTCAACAAACCCGCGTCTCCACCATGGTTCAGTTTGCCATGATCACGCGTCTGAAGGACGGTCTCCCGTTATCAGCCACCACCGACCACGAGCCGAGCGAGGCAGTTCTAACAAGCAAGAAATATGCCAAGCTCATTTCCAAGAGAGCTTCCCGTTTTCCCGACCGATGCTCATTATTCACAGGCAGCCACTGGCTACAGTTAGTACCTCTAGTTTTTTAACCATCCTCATTTATTCAAATTTTTCTATCCCAAAACAAATGCTTTCAATTTACAGGCATTCAGTGATCGGAGTTTTATTGCTTTGTGTCCAATACTCATTTTCTTTTCACATTTTCAGACCCTAATCAATTTTCCTCAGTTCAACTTTTGCCTTCATTTCAAAGTACTGCATCATTACATTTCAACTTAACTCTTTTTTAACTGAGATTTTGTTTTTTCCAACTAGCCTTATTTCATCTCTGGGCGTCTGTTTCATCATGATGTGCGAGGAGAACTACCCTACAGTCTTGGCATTCTGTTTCTTGGATGAGATTCAGCGAAGCTTCATTTCGACGTACGACGGCAAACGAGTGGCAAACTGCCGACGACCTTACGCCCTCATTGAATTCGGTAAATGCAGTTAGCTTTCTCCCTTTAACCCATTACTACATTGTATTACATTGTATTACATTGCATTACATTGCATTACATTGTATTACATTGTATTACATTGTATTACATTGTATTACATTGTATTACATTGTATAACATTGTATTACATTGTACAATCCAGTCTCGTTATAACAAACCCGTTCAGACCTAGCCAAACTGTTTGTTATATCAGAATTTTGTATTAAGAGGAACATCAGTCCCATTCATTGTGCACATAGATGCACAGTCGGGACCAAGGCTTTATGTTTGTTATAACCAGAATTTTGTATTAACAGAGTTTGTACTAACGAGAGTCGACTGTATTTATTCCGTTATGAATCCGTAATACTGTACAAGTATACATTGCCTGGACAATTTGGGCAGTGCAGCCTATAATGGGTTAAACATTGTGTATATCAAAACTCAAACACTGCAGAAATCCCTGGAAATAGCGAAAAAAAGTGCTTAATAATCCCATGTTTTGGGATGATCACATTTCACCCCATTCCAGAGTGACGTTTTAAGTATTCAGAATTCCAACCACAAAATATTAATGTGATCAACAAAAACAAAATTTTACTGTGATAAACAAAAATGATACCAGCATTTCGAGAAGAACAATTTCTATTTTTTGTACCTCTACAATTCTTCAGATACCGTAATCAAGAAAACCAAGCAACGTTTTAACAACACACGGACGCTACAGACCAAGATCAACCTGACCAACATGTCGCAGGAGGTTAAGCTCCGCCCCCCACATCGCATCACCATCGAGGAACTCGGCCCGTTACCCGGCGATAATCATGCGCAAGAACGGAACGGGGTAGGGGCTCATGTGTATCGCCCTCCCGCCGGTGAGTTATTCAAGGCATTTTCGAAGCCTTGGGTTCATTTCCAGGTTTGGCTTTGTCTGTGGCTTCAGAATCATTTGTAAACCTTTTATTGTCGGGGGCAGTTCGTCTCCTGAATCTGAAGCTGGAGGCATAGCCTCAGTTTCAAAAACCCTCTTAGTGTTATGACCTCTTAAGGAAGGCCGTTTTATTAACCTTATAGTCTTTTTGTTGTATAGCTCATCATTGCTGGTAAGGCTGATCAGTCTTATTTGGGAATTATGTCCATGGCTTTCATAGTTTCATTGTAGTTGTGCATCAATGAAGCCGTAGCCAAAACAAATTCCAGATTTAGACAAAGCCTGGGATGGATAATCATACTCGCATAAATTGTTTAAATTTGTCCAGCTGGATAGTCATTGATCCTAACCCCGAACCCTATCAAAGTCCAATGCCTGTTTTGAATGATTTTGATTGATTTTGATTAATTTTGATGGATTTTGATGGATGTTTCTGTTTCATCACAGCCAACCATGAGCAGTTTATCCCCTTGAATTGGCTCGGCAAGCTGGCCTTGTCTCTGTGTCTTCTCTGCTGTGTTCTCAACTTGATACGAATCGGGAGAATTATAAACGCTGGACCCATGATACTAGACGTAAGTAAACAAGCCCAACTAAATTTTAGCTTCATCCCATTAGTCCCTGTGCCACCGCAAACCATCCTGCTTGTTACTCCCTGTACCCCCCCCCAACCCGCCCCACCTGTTACTCCCTTTAACCCCCCCCCCCCCTTCACTGCCCTGCATGTTACTCCCTGTGCCGCCCCAAACTGCCCTGCCTGTTACTCCCTGTACTGCCCCAAACCACCCTGCTTGTTACTCCCTGTACCATCCCAAACCACCCTGCCTGTTACTCCCTGGACCACCCAAAACCACCCTGCCTGTTACTCCCTGTACTGCCCAAACCACCCTGCCTGATACTCCCTGTACCACCACAAACCACCCTGCCTGTTACTCCATGTACTGCCCTAAACCGCCCTGCCTGATACTCCCTGTACCACCCCAAACCACCCTGCCTGTTACTCCCTGTACTGCCCTAAACCGCCCTGCCTGATACTCCCTGTACCACCCCAAACCACCCTGCCTGTTCCTCCCTGTACTGCCCTAAACCGCCCTGCCTGATACTCCCTGTACCACCCCAAACCACCCTGCCTGTTACTCCCTGTACCACCCCAGTGGGTAGAGCCCCAGTACTGCCTGTTACTCCCTGTACCACCCCAAACCACCCTACCTGTTACTCTCTGGACCACCCCAAACCACCCTGCTTGTTACTCCCTGGACCACCCCAAACCACCCTGCTTGTTACTCCCTGTACTGCTCAAAACCACCCTGCCTGTTACTCCCTGTACTGCCCTAAACCACCCTACCTGTTACTCCCTGGACCACCCCAAACCATCCTGCTTATTACTCCCTGTACCACCCCAAACCACCCTGCCTGTTACTCCCTGTACTGCCCAAACCACCCTGCCTGTTACTTCCTGTACCACCCAAAACCACCCTGCCTGTTACTCCCTGTACCACCCCAAACCACCCTGCCTGTTACTCCCTGTACCACCCCAGTGGGTAGAGCCCCAGTACAGAGTCCCAAAAGTTACAGGTTCAAACCCTGTTCCGGTTCATTTTAATCAAATTTCCCAGAATATTGGTTCAAAGTGAGCTTTGCCAGATTTCGAATGTTGTTTTTTGTGTGTTTTTTTTATAGTTTTCAAAAAATTTACCCCAAAAATCAATCTTCACTTTATCAATTCCCTCCCCCCTCAGGATGCTATCCACTACACAGCCACATCAGCGGGTCTCTTCCTTGCCTCCAGTCTTCTAGGACTCCTCCAATGTTTCCTTCTTGTCTACCGAACCTCTTGGAGGACCTCAAAGAACCTCCTGGCCCTACTCTGCCTAGCATCCGTGGAGGGATACCTCTTTCTTCACGCTTACCGCTACGGTCTGACATCCATCTTCACCGTCCTGGCCGCTGTGCTAGCTGCATGGAGGATCCATACGCGGACCGTGCCGCCCAAGTTACCAGACTATACTGTTTGATGAGGTGCTCGCGCAAACATCACACAAACATTTGAGAACAACTCAGCGTGAATTTTTCAACAAACTCTACTGTGCTGCAGCAGATATACTCGTCATTCCTGTGCAAATTGACAAAGTTTTCAGTAAAATGCTCAAATGCAAGATTGTAGAGGTATGAAGTAGAAAGCAAAAGCTGAGGTTTTATACGTCCCCCCCCCCCCAAAGAAAATAGTTGGCTTGAGGTTTTGCACCTTCTTTTGGCAGTTACTGACAGGCATTAAGTCATTGTTGCATTGTTGATGCCCGACATTGAGTAAAACTGTCCTTGGTCGGTTGCCTGGTAACTAAGCAATGTTTTGTAACCATGGTGAACAGCAGCCAATAAGATCCATTGGATGTTAAAACCAATGAACTTTACTTTGTCTTCAAAGGAAAGTTAATTGTTTTTGGAAGGGGGATATATACTCCATTGGCCAATCCATTTTTCCAGTTACTGTGTCACATATTTGTATACATATAGAAGTATTGACCATTAAGCACAAATTGTAAATAGGCAACTTTAATTGGACCACCTTATTAAGATTTCACAGCAAGAAATGTAAACCTTTTTTAACACTTTATTGTACCTGTTAATTCTTATATTTGTATACATGTACATGTTTACCAACCTAACCCATCCTCTTAAAATAAACACTTGTTGTCTGGAGCTTGGTGTGCTAAAACCAGGTAAAACTCTACGAAAGGGTAAAATAATGATACTTTACTAATTGAAAAGTTATGTACTATTACGAATGGTGCTAAACCTTTTTAAAATAGTATAAATACAGATTTTGTAAAATTGACAAACGTCCTGGCAGTATTGTAAGGTCTACAGTAGTATGCTGTATAACAAGTTCTTAATATGTAACTAAACTAGGGTAATGACTAATGAAAATAAAACAACATTCTCTAGGCTAATTAATCATTTATTCCAGTTTTGGAAAAGTTTTATCAAAAATCTGAAACTCATCTTAATTCAAGCAGAAATGTTAGTTTTATTGTATTTATTGAGTAAGGATTAAATTTACAGATATATTTTTGTCTTTATGTAAGACTAAAAGATTTCTTGTTTGTTTGTTGACCTTTTTGTGTGTTTGTGGCTGTTTACTTTCAACTTGTCTTTGCCATATAGACTTGTCGTTTGAATAGTGTAACATTATGTCAGTGCATTTTCGAACTTGAAATTTCTTGATCTTCATGCTTTATTCGCGCATCAGACAAAGGGCTGTGTTTTTCTTGGAAATTATTTCAGAACGAAGGTACCGAGTACATTTATTTTTGAAAGATGGACAAATCGACACCAAAAGGACTTAAACGAGTCTAATATAGCTAGACTTATTTCTCCAATAGGGGGCGCTCGATCAAAAACATGATCGCCAGATGCGTGTTTTTTTTGTCGACTGCATGCTGTGGATCAGTGGTGATTAAAGTCTAATCTTAACTCGGTCAGTGATGCATAAATAGCGCATTTTGTTACAGAGTGATTCTTGTGATAATGCTGGTACAAGCCTTTTCCACAGTGACTCGACAAGCCAGCAGATCGCTGAAAACTACCATCTGTTTGAAGTGTTCATTACTTCCAAATCACACCGCCCGAATTTCGACGAAGGGTCCACGGATTTGTACCTCCCATTCCCAATTTTCTGAAAAGAAATTTAGCGATCTGCATAACTGCAGTCTAGATCTAGGAACAAAAGCAACACGGATAAGGTGCGTAAATCAATCGTTCATTGTTAACAAAGGTACTCCATGAAATGGTTGAATTTGAACATGTTTAACTTTAACCTGCCGGCATAATTTCAAAAATATTTTTTACCTAATTTTTGGGGCGGGAAGTTGGGCATGTTGGGGGGGGGGGGGGGTGTTGCACTTTCTTTGTAAATTGTAGATTTTTTTCTAAAGTTGTTATGAATTTTCTATTTTCTAAAAGTTCAGACATTTGTGACATTTTAGGTATAATATTCACTAGTTTATTTCCATAATCAATTTTTATTCTGGTTAAATTATGTAAGGCCTGCTGGCAGTGCTGTTCATCACTTCATGCTGTTTCTGTTTGTTTTCCACATATATCTCTCTTATTTTCTGTCTCATCTTTAAATTATTAAGAAATAGTTGATTTTGAACATGAAGACAATGTTGATATGATTCTCTTTTTGCAGAGGTATGGCGAGCATTGACAGCCTTGATGAGACGCAAGTCAAACTGTTGGCTGAGGAGTGCATCGTGGTGGACCGGGACGACAAAGTCATCGGATCGGCCTCCAAGAAAGACTGTCATCTGAACGAGAATATTGACAAAGGTAACGAACGGGACGTGTCATTTGCGAAAGAGTTTGTTTAAACCAAAATAGGTCTATCATAACTGAACCTGCTAAATATAAAGTTACCCTGAAATCCTAAAGGCTAAAAGTACATGTAGGTTAATTCAAGTGAAAGCGAAGGAATTTTATGACATCAACAATTGTAGCTTCAATATGACGGAAAGATTCCCATATCTGGCCATCACTTGTCACGCTGTGCACAAACAGTGTGAGACTGGTCTGAACATTTCTAAGTGTTTTCTCAGTACATACTTCAATATTTTCCCTTCAAAATTTGACTTTTTAGGACATATTATCACTTTCTGATGGCTGATATGTCACTGAAGGGAAAAATTAGTGATGGCCAGATATGGGAATCTTTTCTTAAACTGTGTCACACAGAGAGTCACTGCACGAAACACAGCACTGTGGAGAGCAGTGAAGCGTGACTGAATCTAACTGCTTGCCCTGAGCTTAACCACGCAAAAGAATTGTGCAGGGATTTGAAGTGTTATCCATACTCCACAGAAGACTACCTCAAAGGAATTTGAAGTGTGGGTGCTAAATCTATGAGCAAAAGTGGTTTTGCAGAACTTGAAAGGTTGTGAACTTCGGAAGACTAATGAAGATTTATCTTAAATAACTTTGCATTTTCAAAATCTTGTTGTGCAGGGTTATTGCATCGAGCGTTCAGTGTGTTCCTGTTCAATGAAAAGGGACAGTTGCTACTCCAGCAGAGATCGGACGCCAAAATCACATTTCCGGGTAAATTTCTTATTCTTTTTTTGCACCGAGTTTAAAGATTCTTCAAACTCTATTTTTAGTTGTTTCATTAACACCTCGAAAAAAAATCTCAAAGGGTAAATCGTAACTTTTTTTATAATCCTTGTGTGAAGTTGTGAATATCATGTTTAGTTATGGAATAATCTCTCTTTATATAGACTGCACCAGTTTTTAGTGTAGCCAAGAACGTTGTTTGCTTTTTTTTTTTTTCCAGTGTCAACGACAGATAACAGGGTCATCAACTGTGCACCAAATTTAGACTTGGGTCAACAACAAAAGTTATTTTTATACATGACCTGAATGAAAAATGACTCAAGTCTAACTTAAATCTAATAATATCAATCTAAAAGTTGAATGAGCAAAGTTCACGGAATTCACAATAACCTAAGAAAACTGTAAAACCTTTAAAAAAAATGGAACAGTAAAATAAAAGTGAGTCTCTGGTTTTTCATGAATTTTGAAATTTTCAATCTTGAAAATATTTCGAAGTCCTACAATACTATGATATTAGATTTTCTTTGAACGGGGGAACAAAACATTTTGGGAACAAATTAATGTTATTGTTAATCAGAAGACAGTTTTATGTGCTTTTTAAAATATTGTGATTCTTTTTTTTTTAAGCTGAAATCCTGTTTTTTTTCTGTGATTTATTTTTTTACTAATTAATGTCCAGGATATTGGGCCAATACTTGCTGCAGTCACCCACTCAGCTTCCCTGAAGAACTTGAAGAATCGGACAACCTCGGCGTGCGCCGAGCGGCGCAGCGGAAACTCAAACATGAACTGGGCATTGAGGCCCAACAGGTAAACAATAAGTCTTTAGATTTAGAGAGAATTTATGCGGATCTACCATTATTCTTCCATTTTGTATTGCAACCGGACATATTTGTGTATTGAATACTTGCTGGTATTATGTTGTAACAGAAAAGTTACTGGTTGTAACAACATGCTTCAGAAGTTACTGGTAGTTTGTGAATTGAATTGCACTTTTCAAACTTTCATTATGCTAAAAAAGCATGTTTTGGTTGCTATTTTTTATTTCTAGATGTGATAAAAACCTCATGTCCTCAACTTACTTTCTGCATTAAAATTTTTAAGAAATCTAAAAACGAAACAAAATTTCATTATACATAAACCTGATTCAGTATTTTCTTTGCAATTTCACTCATTTTATTGACTCTGACAACAGAGGGCAGCATTTACTTACATCTGTGAAAACACTGGTTTATTTTGCCCAGTAGAGGGCAGCATGAATTTGAGTCAGTTGCCTCATACCCACCGCCCAAACAGGGTACTGAAAAATGTCTAATTTCTTCTGGCTGAAAGACGTAATTTTTTCGAGCCCTCATTGTATAGAATTTGCTTATCAATAACACGGGTCAAGCTTTTTACCTGCACACGACACGTACGGCTTGTACGTCCATTGGTTGCGGCACTTTGGTCCTAACAATATTTTGCGCCCCTGTGCTTCCTTCACAATATTTTGTGAAAGAAAAGCCCTTCCAAGCGCACTGTTTGGGCGGTGGGTAGTCACTTCAAGTTATGGTATTGGCATGAATTGGCCACTTGAGGGCAGTATGCAGGTTTTTTTTAAGCAAAATGATTAATTTTTCCCAATAGAGGGCAGTATTCATTCAAATTATCTTATAACACACTGGCAATTTTTGCCCCAAAGAGGGCAGCAAATAGTTTTCATATTGTATGCGATGGTTCATTTTGCTCAATAGAGGGCAGTGTTATTCAAATAATATCTCAACACTGGCAGATTTGTCCCAACGAGGGCAGCATATATTTTTTCCAAGTTCATGAAGTTGTTTATTTTTGCCCAATAGAGGGCAGTATTTGTATATAAAAGTTTGCAAGGTTTGCAGTTTTTGCCCAAAAGAGGGCAGTATTTCTTGATACAATAAAATGGCTTGCGTATTTTTGCCCACTAGAGGGCAGCATTAACTACCGCCAATGTTTGCACTGGTTGACAATGCCCTACAGAGGGCGGTTTGTTTTGTTCGTGGCTGGTATTGGGCAGTAGAGGGCAGCAAAAAAAACATTGTTTTTTTTCCCATACTAGTTACTACTACTAGTACTTTCTGGTTCATTTGTTTTTCCCAATTGCTCGTTTTTTTAATATCTAAGGTGCCGTTGGATGATTTCCATTATCTGACCCGCATCCAGTACCAAGCCACGTCGGATGAGAAGTGGGGAGAGCACGAAATCGACCACATCCTCTTCATCCAGAAGGAAGTAGACGTTAAACCGGAACCAAATGAGGTAAGAAAGTTGCCTATTTATTCAGTGTGTCATGTTTCAAAGTAAAAGTATCAAATATTGTAAAAGTAAAAGTATCTTAGGATTTTATTAAGCTTGAAGCATTCAGGAAATGTTATAATTGTTACCAATAAGAAAAGAGTTTTGAAGATGGCTCATAGGGAAATGCCCCCCCCACCCAAAAAAGTCTGAAAATAAAAATAATTATATACCAAATCCAAAAACAACAGATCTTCACTTGTTGATGCATAAGGTTTACGCCATTGTTCTAGGTTCAAAATGTCCGTTACATCAGCCCAAATGAGTTGGAGGGATTTCTGAAAAGCTCGGAGACTAACGGAACCAAGATCAGTCCCTGGTTCAGACTCATCGCCCAGACGCTGCTCCCTGATTGGTGGAAACATTTGGACAATGTCAAGAGCCTAGAGGATCATGGGACAATACACAGGATGTGAAGAGCATGATGGGATAGCCAATACAAGACGTTTTGGCAGGGAGCAGCTGGATAAATGGCAAAGCGTTAGTAAACTGTAAAATACACCGATATTCTGGAGAGGATGTTGCAAGTGTTCTGGGACATGTCAAAGGACATCTTTTGCAAGGGATTGTGGGTAATTGAAGAATTATGAAATACCAATTCAGTTATGCGTGGCAAGTGGTCTTCACAAAATAATTTTATTACACATTGAATCCACCCGTCAAAACTACCAATATAGACTGTGCACTTATTAACAAGCACATGCAGATGTTGTAAAAATGATTAATTTGGCATTTCCGCTCAAAATAGATCACATTATTAGCATCCAAATTGTGGTTTTGATTTGCAATTCAGTTGGCATATCATAAAATGATGTAATTGGCCTTAATATTTCAAATTAGGACATTTGTAAAATAATAAACACATTTTCTTTTGAAGTAAAACATATTTTCTATGTACTAATGAGTTTTTGACTTTAATTATATGCATTGTTAACACAAAAATATAAAACCTGCTTCGTTTTTGGGGTAGTATTCATTTATATATCATCATAAATAAATAATTTTAAAGTGGATATGTCAAAGAAAATAATACTTTTTCACGAATTTACTTGATGGAAATAAATTAATAGTATCCATGTACTTGTTCGTACTCATAAATTCAATGTGGCCATTATATTTTTGTCATGTATTTGATGTTTCTTTTGCCATCACGTAGTTGATGTCTTCTGTTGCTGTTTGTGTTGTTTAACACACTGGATGGTGCAGAACTTGTAGTCCAAGTACTCAAAGGGCACCTTGCCAACTAGACTGGTCCCACACAACCAACAACGCCTGCAGAATGGGAGAACAGAGTGGGAACCAGTGAATATTTGAAGCAATATTTATGACCATTTGGAAACAATTGTTGGCACATGTTCACAGTCTGCAGGAAGTAGTTAAACTTGGGGTTAGAATCCCACCAGGGTCATTTGACTGCAATTATTAGAACTATTTTAGAATGTTCAAGTTTTCTTGGCAGAATGTCTGTGGTTCAAATTCCTCCAGGACCAAGATGCTGAGGTGGAATTTTCAACATTTATGTCAGTTGTCTGTGGTTCGAATCCTGCTCGAACCCATAATTTTTATTTTATATTGTCCCTGGTTTGAAACCCCCTTTGAACGACTACCACGTCGAAATTCTCTAAACACAATGAAACTGCCATATTGAAACTTGTAAAATTCATCTCTGGTTGTCTACAGTTCGAATCCTACAAAACCCACAATTTAATGGTACTTTAGCCCTTTGCGAGCATTATTTGCCAAGTTGTTTTCACTTTTTCCTTAAACCTCACATCTTAAACAAATCTTACTTGGTATTGCTTAGTTGGGTTGTTTCTGTTGCCGTAGCGCCCTGAACTGCCAGCTGTGCCTGGAATCGTCGCTCTGCTGCTAGGGCTCTCTTCTCTCGGTCGCTTAGCGATGCAAACTTTCGTTTCTCCTCTTCCTCTGCCTCTCGCTTCCTCCGCTCCTCTTCTTGTCTCTTCTGCTCTTCCTTTTGCTCCTGTTCAATACAATTTGCAGAGTTAGTAAAGTAAATGGCCCAAGAGACGGGCATTTATCTCTGTTTTCATGAAAGGACTGAAAATATTTCTATTCCCCCTGGATGGGATGCAAGTCCATCGCAGGTTACTCCCCAGGTAATGCTGGTACCCATTTACACTCCCTGGTGGAGAGAGTCAGGGTAAAGTGGCTTGCCTAAGGACACATGTGGCCAACAGCTGGATTCAAACCCCTCCGATCATGCGTCACGAATGCCAACCACTAGGCCACACTCCCCACAATGAATTAAATTGCAGTAAATCCAGGTTATCCACATCCACATGGGAGTTTTGAAATGGAAACACAACATGGATTGAGCCTTGCACCCCCCCCCCAACATTTGTCAAAATCTACCACGATGTTTTAGAGAATTTTGCAAGATTGAGAAAGATATAACGCTACCACTTTTACTTGACATGGGTTTGGTGCCCTTGAAAGGTAAAAGTACAAAGAATGTTTCGTTGGAGAACAGCGGACAGTTTTTAGTGGAGAACTTTGGAAGATTCCAGAAAAGTCCCTCTCAAAAATTGGCCAGGAATTAAGGGAAGATAAACACCTGTTCTCTGATCCTCTTGTTTTTCTTCTGAATTCTCTTCTTCTCCGCTGCTTTAGCTGCTCGCATTTCTTCCTTGTCGGACGTCAAAGGACTCGGGATCTGTGTGCAACAAAAAAACGGCCATAAAGATTGGACTGTGATGATGTGAAAGTCCGGTTGGTACAGTAGTTTTTTTCTAGTGACCCCGGTTTGATTGCTACTGGGCTCACTATGTGGACTAGGTTTTAGTAGAAACTTTCCTCTGGAGATGATCACATCTTACTGACCGGAACGTTGAAACGTGGTTTATTCAAATCTTCAAGACTTTGATTGAGCTGATTGTACCTGTGCTTGCTCGTAGTTATATTTTCCTGGATGTGCAGCCATGAACCTTCGGAACTCTTTCCTCAACTCCTTGTTGTTGCACAGGACGTACGGGACTTGGCCCTTCCTGTTTCTGAAAATAAAAATGCACAAATTCCTGAAGAGTAACATGTGCAGGCTGGATTTACAATGTCTTCTGGCCCATTCACTTCATTCACCTATACAGACTTTGAATTCTTATGATTTCATGAAACTCCAAAAAACATACTTGTCACACACTTGGCAAACCGCGGGATATCTACTAAGTATGGAGATTTAGGGTTACTTTGCCAAAGTTTTACAGAACGCAACAGCAAAGTGAGACGAATCAATCAGAAACCAACAGCTAGAGCATAGAAACAAAAACAAGATCTAGTAGAACTTTTCCACTGTTGGGCTTTGTTGGGTTCAGAACTTACTTTATGGCAGGATCTGCTCCACATTCCATCAAATTCCACAAAATCGTCGCCCTTTCTGCCTGGACCGCTACGTGCAACAGAGTGTTACCCAACTCATCAACAGGACGGTTCACCACATCTGCCAGATCCCCTCCGTTACCCATCATGCCTTGCTGATTACCCAGCATGCCCTCCTCATTGCCTGGCAACAATGGACAGTCCTTCACCTCAGAATTTTGACAGTGTTTCCCTTGTTGTATCTCATTTGCTAAACTTTTGTCATCAGATTCCAAAGCTAAATCTTCTGTATTGGAGTCCTCCTTCCCGAAAGCGTGAACCTTGTTTCCATGTTCTTCCGCCGCATGTTTGAGTGCAGTTTCGTTCTCGGTAATACTATTTTCAATGCCCTTATGTTGAATGTTTTGCTCTGTTCGTGGTAAATCGCAATCTTTCGTTTCCAAAATTTGACTCGTTTCCTCAACATCCGTCTTTCCCTCCATTGTTGGAGCAGCATTGTTGGTACCCTCTTCATTTGCAGGTCTTGTCAGCATAGCTTTTAGCTGGTCCCAATCTCCCTTCCTGCAGGCTTCGCACAGGGCGTCCATTTTGTTGTTGGATTTGTCTTGGTCTGTTCAAGCAAAGCAATGAAATATCAACAAAGTCATTAACATGCAAAGCCAAATGAATTGACTAACAATTGATTTTTTTGACATTTAATCTAACCAAGCATGGTTCTAGACCCAAATTATCTAGGTGTTTCAACATTCTAGCCTGCTGCACTCTTGAATTTTTGTTTTTGAAACTCAATTCACCATTTTGTTCATGGTTCTTAAACCAAACCAAGATCTTTTGTTCTCACCATCTTTGTTTTCTTGTTTCTTCCTCGGTTTCCTCTTTTTCTTGGGTCGTTTGTGTTTCCCGACATTCGTCTCAAACTCCTGGAGATCTAGTGTCGATATCTCTTCTTCAACCATCACTAAATCAACTTCACCTTCGCTCTCAGATCTTTTCCCTACAGAAAATGGAAAACAGCAAAATTTGAATGCTCAAGACAAAATTGTGAAGCAAATCTAAGTCTATGTGAATCTTGTTTAAGAATCACAAACTTGAGCTTGTAGAACAAGCTTTTACTGTTTCCATTTCTCTGTAGATGAAGCTGAAAAAAGAAATAAGAAGAAACTTGTGTTGATTGTATCATACCTTTGCTATTTTCCACTTCTTCTGTAGTTTTCTGTGTATTTTCATCCTGTTTCATCTTTGTAGTTTTCTTTGGTTGGCTAATCTTTGGCGAGTGGGCTTCCATTATGCGCCTCTCTGCCTCAACTGCATTTCCTTTAAAAGAAAAACAATTGTATGAACAGACTGTGAAAAATGTAACTGTTTGTGTGCGTTCTTTTGAAAATTAGTTGCACGTACTCTCAGGCGCGGTTCTAGAGCCAATATTTTGGGGGGCTAGCACGGTGAATCCAGAATGTTTTTTTCAGGGAAGCGTGCTGAAATGTTGACCGGTTATTTTTTCCAGACACTTAGGCCTCCGAAAATCAATAGGTGGTGGGGGGGGGGGGGGGGGGGGGCTCATGCCATATTTTCAATGGGGAGCGCCAATAAAATCCTAAAATCATTCACACTATAGCAAGGGCGGATCCAGAACACAATTTTTTTGTGGGGGCCAAAACAAATTTTGGTCCCCCCAAAAAGTGGGTCCAAAAAATTACGGCGTGGGGTTCGGGGCCCGCTGAAGGGCCCTGAACAATTTTTGGATTCTAGATGCTCTGTGGTGCGATCTGAGGCAATTTCTGACCACTTTAACCAATTGTTTTTGAGGAAAAGATGGTGGTGTACTCATTGCCTGCCTTAATTGCGATGTCACATTAAAAAAAAGATAATTGGTTTCGTTTTTTGGGGGGGGGGGGCATGGCCCCCTTTGCCCCCCCCCCCTCCTGGATCCGCCCTTGCACTATATTAACTAATGCACCCTTGTCACGGCTATTTCTTCTTTAGGGGGAGACCGTTCACATGTACATCACATGCAATCCTTCTTTTTGCTAATGCAAATTTTTTTTTACGGAATTTATTTTGGGGGGGCTAGACAAAATTTTGGGGGGGCTACAGCCCCCCCTAGCCCCCCAGTAGAACCGCGCCTGCGTACTCTGCATAAGGCCAAAAAAAAATATTCGGTCTCTGGTCAGACCAAAGTTCTGGAATTGACGCGGCCACACGATTTTTTTTTTTTTTTTTGCTTTTTTTTTTTTTCTTCTAGCTTGGATTGTACAGACAAGGTGGGGTACTATTTTGCTTTTTTGGTGTCCTCATGTTCATTGGTGTCCTCATGTTCATTGGTGTCCTCCATAATTTGCCTTGGTGCTTTCGATCATTTGCCTTGGTGCAATTTCCCATTCCTTGGTGCTCTTTGGTAAAAAAAATTGAGGAGGTGCGGAAATAGAGGGCGCTGTTGGAGCTACCGCGGAACATTTTGGGAAAAAAAAAAGGTCGACGCGCATGATTAAAATCGACGCGCGCACTGACCAGAGACCGACTTATTTTCTTTTTGGGCCTAATATGTAAAAAAAAAAACCAAAACAGCCTCATTATTTTGAAAGCTATAGTCAAAGTAATCACAAGTCAATCATGAGTCGAGACACAGAACTGGGGTGCACAAAGGAATGTCTTTCTCAAGGTTCACTTGAATAGCTTCTGACTTGAGTTGAGACTAACTGACTTGGGATGGACTTGTCAGGACTCAACTACTATTCCGTACATTCCAATTTGCTCACTATGGACAGACAACACAGGAGTTCAAAGAAATAGCCATCAATCCATTTTTGGATACCTCAAGAGATTGTTAGTGCATACCATAACAATCCACAGTCGACAGTAACCCATGAACACGTTGGATCTCTTTGAACGTCGGCCGCCTCGTTGCGAAAGGTATGGTCACGATTCTCTCGTCACGCCGATCAAGTGGAGGGTTCTTCCCGCCAAAGAACGCATTCTTGTTGTAGCTGGGCGCCCTCAGGAAGATGCGATGACAGTCTCGGATCTGGTCGTCCCAGCACGCAAGGAGGGCGTGGATGTCTTCTACCAGGGCAGCTTCATTATAACGTCTCAAGGAGGCTCCTGCAGACCTGGAATTTTCAAAAAAGGAAGAAGAAAAAAGGCAGGTTAACAAGTCCATCACATTGCAATCACAAGTCCATCATGAGTCAATCACATTTCCATCACATGTCAATTACAAGTCCATCACAGTCCATCACATGTCAATCACATGTCAATCACAAGTCCATCACAAGTCCATCACATGTCAATCACAAGTCAATCACAAGTCCATCACATGTCAATTATGAGTCCATCACAGTCCATCACATGGCAATCACATGTCCATCACAAGTCCATCACATGTCAATCACAAGTCCATCATGAGTCAATCACATTTCCATCACATGTCAATTACAAGTCCATCACATGTCAATCACATGTCCATCACAGTCCATCACATGTCAATGACATGTCCATCACAAGTCCATCACATGTCAATCACAAGTCCATCACAAGTCCATCACATGTCAATTACAAGTCCATCACAGTCCATCACATGTCCATCACAAGTCCATCACATGTCAATCACAAGTCCATCAGAAGTCGATCACGAGTCTATCACATGTCAATCACAAGTGCATCACATGTCCATCATGAGTCAACGAATGGCTGTCCAACAGTGCTTTCTGGTTGGTACTCACTTCGGTTGGTTCCCGCCCTGTTGCGAATCTCGCATACCCTGCGCAGTGCCGCGCTTGGCTCGGACCGTGTAGCGGTGGAAGGTTTTGTGGGCAGGAACCTCCTTCCTGAAATCAAATCAAATGAATCAAAATCAGATCTTACATATCTTATGTTGTGCACCCAACAATGTGCCTTAGTCTTCAACATTATGAAGTTGGCGCAGAACTTGGAAGCAGAAGAAGAAGAAGAAGAAGAAAAAGAAAGAAAGAAAATGAGGAACTTTTGTTGTTAAGACCGTGATCAAACTTGACTCACCCATCAAAAATGGCACCAGCAAAATGGCCGCCACCAATCATGAGAACAAGCCATCTCATCCTTATTGGAAGCTGAGTTGCCATAGCAACAAGTTCTTGCTGAGTGGTTGGCATGTCCTAAAGTAAAAGCGGAAATGATTATTTAAAATTGGTAAAATTTATCAGCCAACATGAAAGTAAAATGGCAATTGTTATTTCAATTTAGTTCAGGGGAAAAGGTACCCTTTTTCCATGCAATACGCATCGCTGGACTGACAAAAGCTGTCCATCGCTATTCCTGAAGAACACTTTGGGATGCCTACGACCTTTGACATGATGGTCTGGCTCCCGTCTCTTTGCTGAGAGATTTGGTGAGTCAGGGGTGCGGGAACCAGAGTTAAAGTATGGGGAGCGATCACTGTCATTATCGCTGTCATCATCTGTAGAGGAATCACTCCCAGAAATACTGGACACATCACCTGCACACAAAGCAGGAGAAATATCACAAAGAAACCTGTAAATTTTTGTCATATTCATATCCTAAAATGATGAAATTTACTTTTATGACATATGATAGTAACAGTTTGAAACGAATAAGTTTTGTTACTTATTCGTTTTTCTTTTGACATAATTCATGATTTCCAATACATTTGTTAAATTGCCTCCACATATCAAATTTGGAAAAGAATCATGAGCTATTGTATTTAAATCAAAGATCATTTTTCCAAATTAAACACCAACCAGAAATATTTTCGAATTGTTCTTCGGTTACAGCAGGAGCTCCAATCATCCTTTGCTTCAAGTTGAACCGGTGCCAGTCCAGTTTGTAGTGGTCTATCTGTTGACCAAAAAAAAGAAGAAGAAATAAACGATTACAAAGTTTACAATAATTATTTCAGGTCGGTTTTTATTATACACATTAATAACATCACTTTATTTTTGGATTGTGTTCAAAGTAACTAAATCCAGATAAATATTTACAATTTGATATTTGTTTACCTGTTGTTGTCTTGAGGTGAAGTTACAACTGCACAGTAAACATGTCTTCTTAGTTGCGATGGCATAAACTTCAGTTTCTTGGGGAAAAAGAGATTACCTTTATTAGAAAACAGATTTAGCAGGATTAACGATTAAGGCAATCTACGGTGGGAAACACCAACCTGGTCTTTTGACTGGACCGTCGTTTGACTCTTCAACAACCTCGTCAATTTCTGTATTGAGCTGGCACGATGACAGCATGATTCCCTTCAGGAGCGAGGTCGATATGTCAGGGTCGTAGAGGTGAAAGGTTGCGACCTTTTTCTTTGTTTCATCCTGGCTGCTGAGGTTTGTTTCGTCTGGATTGGTTGACATCGCAGCCTTTTGTGATTCTACATCTGCTTCAGCCATTGTCTGCAACCAAATCATTAATGGAAAACTTACATAAATATAAACAACTTATTTATTATTTGTAGGCAGTGGCTCTTTGGGTGGTGCCAGCTTTCTTTAAGCCATCATGGCAGCTTGCCGGAGATAATTCCTCTGGCAAACTAGAATTTTAAACAACCCGTGGGGCAATATCCATTGCCTCATTTTTTAAAGATTAACATTCAATACTTAATTAAAAAAACCCATTTTTGGAAGTGCAGCTGGTCTGATGAAGTTATTATTGTCAAATGCCGGCCACAAAGTAGTTGGGAAAAATTCTGCCAACCGGACACCACTTTTTTCAATAAATTTTCTAGCGCCAAAAGTTACCTCTTTTATGGTTATTCCCTCCACTTTCCCTCCTCTACTCTTACCCCCTCCTTTCCTTAATTTCTATTTATCAATCAGTCGCTCACTTCTTCGAGATTCGAACCTCGAACGCTTGCTTGATACACGAGTCTCTTAACCGCTAGGCCGCGCACGATCGCTGTTGCAATGATCAATCTTTGGACGTATTTGAAGTATTCATTGAAATAAACTAAATATTCATGAGAAAATAAATATTCATAATGACGTATTGCACTATCATTGGCCGACTCATGCGACGTCTCATGCGACGTCATGGTTATCGATGTCATGCGTACAACGTACCGCTGTTCCAGACACTTCAATCAGTTTTGACCGGCTGCTTCAACTCAGATCTGCACTACATGTGCATGCAAAATGTGCTCCAAAAACACATTTTTACAAAAATTTTTTCGCATGTCCACTCTTTCCTGGATTCCTCTTGGTTGAAATCACAAGGTGAGGTGAAAATTTGGATGTTTGGCGGCAGGTAAGTGGAGTCCGGTTGGCAGAATTTTTCCGAGTAAATAATTTCTATGAGGAATAACATTTCAAAAATACAATGTGATTTCATCTACACAAGTACAAATGGCAATTCAACAAACAACGACATCATGATGATGATGATCATCATCAAATGATCAATCATCAGGAAGTGCATTGAATTACAACTGATTTTAAACATGTTTTGTTAAAATGCAAAAATAAATCAACAGGGCATTCCAAATTAATGAAGTTGATGTCCTACCTTCGCAGGTCGAGATTCTAAATCGAGATTCTAAGCAAGTGGTTATGTTGTGTTACATGTGTAATAACTGTTATCACTTGTGGATTTTTGCATGCACAACAACAGCTGGAGGCTGACATTACATGATTTCCATCGTGATTGTGCAAGAGAATCTATTTCGTCTGCTTCCCTAAAAATGAATCATTAAATTTACACGCAAAGACGTCCAGGTTATAGACAACATAAGCCGGGGCGTATGATTTAGTACCCCTGGGAACGATTCCACTCGTCCCAGCCGTAGTTCCCCACGGCTGGAATACGGACAGTGAGATGTGCGTGCAGCTATGAGAACGAAGATGCCTTTAGTTGTGACCTTTGACCGAATTTGATTGGTCAGTCTATGGTGTGTTCTTATTCCTCCATGGTCTGTCAGTCGGTCGGTTTGTCAGTCTGTTCTTTTTGAAATATGAATTGTTACACAAAAAGGAAATTGAAACGTTTTAAAAATAGAACAACTAATTTTTCTCCGGAATTTAGTTCTTTTCAAATGAAATGCAATTATCATTTTCATGTTATTAATTTCTCACATGAAAGCATTCGATTACTCACAGTCAGTGAGTCACACACACACAAATTTTGGAAAAAGAAAAAGATGCACCAATTTTTATGAACAGCGCCCTCTTTCTCGAATGCATGCTGTACTCTGTCGTCTAGTATTTGGACTTTGGTAAAAAAACAAACCAGGATGAAATTTTAAACTTTCCGAAAAAGTCACACCAAAAATCGAACAAGCGCCACCAAGAATTGCCTCTTCTTCACGCTCAACTGTTCAACTTCACGCTTGATTGACTCTCTATTATATTATTGCACTAGCGATGGTACAAAGCTGACGGTGTATTTCATTGACATTTGAGACATTCCTCGTGCGGTCGGTAATTTGAATATAAATAGGGGAAAACGGTGCACAGGTGTATGCAGGCAGGTGGCGCCTCACGCGCGCAGACTAGACACGTAATAACTGTACTCCAAAAGTACACACCAGAAAGTTTACATTGGACTCATCTGTTCCTTGCTAAATGATTGGACCTTAACACCATGAACCAATGACTCGTACTTCGCAGCACTAAGTCGTAGTTTTGTTAATGTTCCACGATTCCACGAGTTGTTGAAGTGCTTGGTTGGAATTGGATTTGTAGTTCGTGTTCTGGCCTCCCAGAGTCTCCCATTTGGATTTTCTGGCTGCACTACCTGCGGAGGAAGCATCTTGTTTGGTTCAATTTCCCGTGTGAACTTCAAAAGATATTGAAGTGTTTCGCGGTGTCCCACGCACGAGGATCACACGTCTAGCGGACTATGGGGAGTTTGGCGTGGTGTCTCCCGCAGCTGGCCGCTGTTCTGGCGCTGGCGTGGGGGCAGAATTTGGACACCCAGTGGCCGGTCAAGCATTCTGGGCCGGCGGGGAGCATGTTTGGCTACTCGGTGGCGTTGCACAGGGAGGGTAGCACGAATTGGTAAGTATAGACACTTATCTTGGGGGCCTACCTTTCAATTTAGTTTCTATTTTAAGAAGAAATCGCTCAATCTCTTAATCTTATTCTGTTCAGTTTATAAAATTTGCTTTGTATTTCATTCTTGGCTGTCTGATTAGATTTTTTCAGAGTAACTTGTAGGCCTACATTTTTGAATGTTGGTCCTTTTTGGATTATTTTTGCTGTCAAGTTATTTACTTATTTTGGAGAGATTCCCATATCTGGCCATCACTTGTCACCCTGTGCACAAACCCTACGAGACTGGTCTGAAAATTTTGAAGTGTTTTGTCAGTAAATGCTTCAATATTTTCCCTGCTAAATTTGACTTTTTAGGACATATGTATCACTTTCTGATGGCTGATAGGCCACTGAAGGGAAAAATTAGTGATGGCCAGATATGGGAATCTTTCCCTTATTTTATTAACATACTGTCATGTGATTTATAACTTTGTAAAAATGTCGACACCGAATTACTTGGGGTTGGTCCTACCAGTGTAAATCTGCCATCTGGGCCCAATTTCATGAACAGCTGATTTTGTGCTAGTAACAGAGACTCCGTCCATGGGCGTAGCGAGGAGGGGGCAAGGGGGGGCACTTGCCCCCCCTGAAAAAGCAAAAAAAAAAAAAGAAGAAGAAGAAAAAAAAAGAGAAAAAAGAAAAGAAACAGATGCGGGAAGACAAAGTGGTGTAAATTTAATGAGTTGGGGGGGGGGGGGGGGAGGGGGAGGGGGCAACATGTCCCTGCCCCCCACTATAACTGATAAATTGAGAATATGTTGAGAAATGCAAGCATTTTTGGCAAAAATTTTTGTTTTGCCCCCCTCTAGAAAAAATCCTGGCGACGCCCATGCCTCCGTCTATTTCATAGCAAAAGCAATAACCCTGGCCTGAAGGAAAAATCAGTGACGTAATAAAAATCTCCAGTTGCTTGTGCATGCCCTGGAGTAATTGCAGGATACCCCGCCACTCGGAATTACACCCTACGTGGTTGGAATCACTGGGAAAGAAACAATTCAAGTCCATTGCCAGCTACGCGGATACTGAGTGGGGGTCCCCTTGAGAATGAAGCAACACAAAAGGAATGGGGTTGCTTAAAAGAATTCAAAGTCCAAACCAACTACTCTGTTGCCGGCTACATGGCTACGGAGTGGGAGTCCCCTTGATAATGCAATAATGAGAACGAAGCAACACAAAAGGAATGGGACTTGCTGAACAAATTTTAAGTCCAAACCAACTACCCTGTTGCCGGCTACACAGATACATGTATGTATGAAAACATTTCAGTCTTTGAAAAAGTACATAGGCCCAGTATGTTAACATTAAAAAAAAAATTCTGAGGACAATATTTAATTCATGCTATAGCTTGGGAAGTCTCTGGCTAGCTAGGCCTAATGCATTATCATAAGCATTAGGGCTGGGATTTTCCATCTAAAGTAGCATATCTGAATACTTCATCGTCTGCATTCTTCTGGAGCATTGTCACTCACTTTAAAAGGTTCAAAGGGTCATTGCACTTCACTGCGACTGATAAAGCAGCGAGGCCCAGCACTGAATTGGTGTTTTTATAACTGCTGAAGCACAATTAAACCAAAACCAAAACTAACACCTCACCCACAGATTCTGTGTCTTGATTGGCCGAGAGCGAGTCACAGAAAGTAACATGTGACACATGTTACTTTCTAATTTTGCTATCTTTCTGTGCACGGCCAAAAGTACTATACCCGTAGCAACCAAAGTACATGTACTATGGAGCATACTATTTTCCCTCGGCTTCGCCTCGGGAAATTAGAATGTCCATGGATCACCTCTGGAGGCTAGTTTTACTACACCACTCGAAGCATTCAATATTTGTGTACTACAAAACTTTGAGGCAGTATAGTTTCATAGTATTGAAAGAGTTGCCACTTAAATACATACTTGTGTAAGCCATCTAGCTAGATATATAAAAACAAAATTTGACAGGGGAGGGGCCGGGGGGGGGGGGTGGGGTGGGGGGGGGGCAGGCAACTTTATCCTCTTCCAAAATTAAAAAGTAAAAGACTGGACCTTTTAATAACTTACATATTCCTTCACCAAAAAATTTCTCTGAAGAAAAAAGGAAAACCAAAAACGAAGCATTGCCATTCCCCTACACAAACAAGTGCGTCAAGTTTTGACAAGAAAGACGAGCTTCACGTGCACAGAGCGATGACGTTATCTTTGCCAGTGTAACAAAATACTATACACTGTTAAAAAAAAAGTAAAAAGAAAAAGGCAATGGCCAGAAGTAACCTCTGAAACATAATAAACTTGAAGTGAAGAAAAAACGTCAATAATACCTGCACAAACATCCAAAGCACTGACGCACGCGCGCAGTCCAAACGTCCGTCTCATACCGAATCATCGATTTTGTGGATTTAGTTCAAACGCATACACATCCCTTCTCTTTTTTTTCCCCCCTGCCTGCGGGCATCCGGGAAGATCATTTGACCAAGTAAGCCGACTATATCAAAATTCCAGAGAGAAAGCAGGAGATTCTTTTGCTAAAGGAAGTAGCTCGCGGGTGTAGATTGTTTGTCAAGTATCGCTGGATTATTTCCTCTATGCTCCAGGTCAATGTAAATATCGGACTGATCGGCTTTTAAAAAAAATGAACAGGGGATTAACTGGGCATTGCCTCGGAGAATATTGCCATGAAAAACAGATTTACCCCTGATATGAGGGAAGATTGGTTTCAAGTGTATATCAGATAAAATGATAGACAATTTTGCATGGTATTTAAATGAAACTTCAATGTTAAACTCAATAGCCACGTAACTCAGTCAGAGACTGTTGTAAAATGTGTGAAAAATTTCATTTTACTGAAGTTAACTTTGTGCTCTAGCTATGTATGTTTTTCTATTCGAAAAATATTCTAGAGAAATGGTTAGATTCAGATTTGATTTAGTTCATTTTGTATAAAAAAAAAGAGACATTTATGGACAAAATAAAACTACTCATAGTTTTTTAAATTTTGTTTACTGAAATTTAAAGCAGAAAAAAGCTTTTCCCTGGATGGTAAACCTGTGCACGTATTACACCTTTGGTGCAAGGGGCCATCCACAGCTATCGATGTTTTCATGATGAACCTTAGTGTGGGGGAGGTTTCTAACTTGGTACCATGGTATGACATGTTGAATGCCTAATTTATAGTCCCTTGGGTGTGAATGAACTTTCAAAAAGGTGTGTGAAATGTTGGCCGTGTGATTTTATAAGCAAGGGGTTATACTTGACTTATATTATTATTAACCTTCCTGCTATTTAAACAGTCACAGACAGTCAAAACTTCTAACTACTTCCCCTGCTATACTTTTTGACAGTCAAATAATGTCAAGCAAGCACTTTGAATAGTCAAACTCAGCCAACAGACCATGAACAGACAAAGCAGGCAAGTTGTGGGCACAGCTGGCTTATCAATCACCCACAGCCAAAGCAAAAGCTATATCGAGCTACATTTAAACAGTCACGGGCAGTCAATCTCACGTAGGCTGGGAATTTTTTTAACTGTTGAAAACAGTCACTTGATTGATTTTGACTGATAGTGATATGACTACTTGGCACAGAAATACATGTTTGCATAGGAGGGTTTAAATTCACACTGCAGAAGTTTACATATGAACACGTACCTTTGGAAGGTCATTTTGCTTGTGGGTCTTTTATTTTTAAATTGTCAGAGCATTTTTTCAGTTTTAAAGAAAATTAACTGGAGCGGGATTCGAAGCTGCTACCACTGGAACCCATGTATAGTGTTCCAGCACTCACAGGTCAAAGTCCAGCGCATATCAATTTCTTACATTCAACCTTATTTGAATTTTGAAGATAGTTTTGCTTCCTATTCAATGGTTAGAATTTACTAGATAATGATGCATAGGAAACCTTACCCTCTTTTTGTCAAATGAATGTATAATTTTTGTGGGTGGTTTAGTTGAATCATTTATGCTGTTACTTGAATACAATGTAAATCATAATTTCCGTGTACAATATCAAAACAGAGTCTGTGACACAAGTGGCCATAGAAGTGAAGTGCCTACATAATCTGAACAGCTGAGAGTGCTTCCTGCAATTAACTCAATGGGATGATTGTCTCCCCAAATTGCCTGCCATGCCAAATGGCCAACATATTTTCCAATTTAGCTAACATATTTTCCAATTTGGCCAGCTGTGATCGCCGTGATGAGCCCATAACTCTGACGTGCACAGTATGTTCTTTAGTGCCCGGCGAGCGTTTCCACGCCATCTCCCCAGGTTGTCGCTAATTGGACTTCGATGGGTTAAAAAAAACCCGTCTCTGTCGAAAGCCTTGGGCAGTCATTAAGTGAAATACAATGTTTCTGGCGAAGTGGCGGTGAGGCGAAGAAATCCGTGGGGATTTCCTGAGTATGGGATATTAAACACTGCAGCAGGTACCGGTACATGTACCTTCAGGAACTCTTACATTCTGCCGGGAGTAAAAAATCATTTTTATCTTGACGATGGAAAAAAAAATACAAAAAATAATTACATGCAGGTATAGTTAATACACAGATCTGTGTGACTGTGAGTAAGGAATTGAATTTGAGTATAGGTCTATGGCTAAATGCAAGATTTTTCCAATTTTCAACATATCTTTTGGTCGGTTTTTTTTTTTTATAAAATTTTGTAAAATGTAGATTCTTCATTGTTTTGTTAATATTAATTTTGTACATTTGAAAAGGTTGTCATCCCATTTTACTGAAGAAAACAAGTGTGTTAATTAAGGATTTATAAGATTCAGTTTTAACAATTTGGTTACTTTTACTTGTTTGATGTAAAACACAAATGTGTAAAATTTAAAATACACAAGGCACAAAGGTTTGGGATGGAAATTGTCCTATTTTGGAAATAAAAGTATTGATAAATTTGCCTTTTTGTTTAAGATAAAAACCTTTCATGCATGATCGCAGTCGGAACATTCTGTTTGTCTTCCATCGTTAAAAGTGTGGCAA